TACATGTGCATATAGCTATTTATATATACTGTATGTATTTTGCACCTTTCTGGGACCGGCATGAAAAACTAGCGGATATTGCTTTCTCACTGGGTCCATTTTACCTAACCCCGCGAGCTTTAAGGAAATACCGTAGTATTGTATACCGGGTATGTATCCAGTGTATGGAGTGAGTCCTGATGATGATATTTTTCTACCTAACCTGTTAATTTGTTTTTTTATGTTGCTATTTACTGTATTAACTGTATATTATTATCCAAGGTTCAGTAGTTACACTGTTGTGACCTTTTTTGTAGTGACGTTAAAAAGATTTCTTGCCTTGTAATGAGTGAATTTATTTTTTGTATTTTTTTCAGGTTTGTGAATGATCATCTAGTCTCCGTCTCTTCTATCAAATCATTTTTATTTAATTCATTTCGTGTTTGCAGCTTATTAGTGTTTCAAATTGATCATAATGATACCAATGTTAAAACTCTCATTAACATAAGTAATGAGTATTATACTAAGTTAGCTAAATGCAATTGTTGGTAATGTACAACAGTAGCAGAATTTTTTTTTTATACTGTATATGCTACAAAACACGTTGAACTGAACATTAGTCATCCTTTCTTTAGAAAATTGGCATTAATAATGTACTTAACATTATGAAAACTTTCATCTTCTTTCAGTGAATATTTTTGTTTAAGTTTAAAAATCTGTAATAAAATAATTAACCCTTAGGCTCCGGGTGACGTTCCAGAACGTCCGACCAGCGCGCCCCGGGTGATGTTTCAGAACGTGCGCCTATTCCCGCCACTTATTTTTATTTTAGTTGATTTTTTCTCGATTTATCCCCACACGGAGGGGGGGGGGGGTTGTCACTGCCAGCAGCACCCTAACCTGGGGCATAAGGGTTAAGAAATATATTCTAACCATTTCAATTTTGTTATGATCGATGAGGTTATTGTATTATAGAAAATTATTATACAAGTTGATATTTCATTATACTTTTTCTCAACTCTTTCAGAAAACTATTTAATATTAACTGTATATTTTGTGTATATTATTTACCTATACCTGTACTGTATTGTTGCTGTTGAATCAAAAACTAACATTAGGCAAAATGCTAAAAAATAATTATATAGGCGGCATGTTAGAACTTGTACTGTATTATAGAAGCTTCTTCAGGCCTGTCTATGGGTTGTTTTTAATTTGTTATAGTACAATGACTGGAAATTATGGTATGTTTCAGTGATGGTAACACCAGACATTGTGATTGACTCGTGTAAATTATTGTTAGCCTCGTGTTGAATAAAGTTACCTAGTGAATAAAAGTTGACATTTTATTCTGACCTCTGTCCTAAACAATAAGAATTAATGATGGAAACTGTTTATTTGGAGCATTTTTTTCTACAAGTCCCAGATCCTATATAATTTATAATTCTGAAAAAGATTTTCCTTTTCAGCATCAAGTAAGTACAGTACCGTAATTGCCAAATAACTAATAGCATGCTGTATTCAAGTCAATGTTTGTCATGTAGTGATCAATACTGATAAATAATTTTTTTTCACATGAATCTGCAACCTCCATGAATCACATGATTAAAAATCCTTGTAAGCACCTATGTACAAAGTTATGGTAACAGTCCTGAACCTGGTTACAAGCAATAAAGTCCTTAGTGATACCTTTACTCTAGTTGTCATCACTGGTAACCAGGGAGGTGTGTAAGCTCAGTTAGAATTCAGGGTTGTAAGATCCATTACATCCTCACTTTAAACACTGCCACTCAGATGGAAATGCTGTTAAGTCCCAAATTTTAGCTCACAATGCTAAAGGTCAGCTGTATAAATATCTTTACTGTAATTTAATATAATTCATGTTTTTGTTCAGATTTGGCATATTGCTGTTAACATAATTTTACTAAAACTTTATTTAGATCTAGAAATTATATTAAAGTTTTAGTATAATTTACTTAACAATCAAATACATTTTTTTAATCCAAAATCATTGTAGCAAAAATAGACTTGCTGTACTTGATCATTAGAAGGCAAGTGCAGTAGTTAAAAAATAGTTTGTCATTCATGTAGCCTCTATAGTGAGAGAGTGGGTTCCATAGGCCTGACAGCTCATTAGGGGCAATGTGGATACAGTACAATGTAAACTATTCCTTCTGTTACCTATGGAGGCAGTGTTGCCAGCACTGACTTATACCATTGTCACTTTCCCAACTGAAAAAGTTAAAAGTTTGGCACAGTTCACAATTGAGTATACTGAAGGGTCCAAGTGTGAGCCAGTAACACTTACAGCAGGTGTGCACTGGATCCACTCAGCTGCCATACTGTTCTACAGTAATTAACCCACTCAGCTGCCAAACTCTATTCTACAGTAATTAACCCACTCACCTGCCAAACTCTGTTCTACAGTAATTAATCCACTCAGCTGCCACACTGTTCTACAGTAATTAATCCACTCAGTTGCCACACTATTTTACAGTAATCAAATGTAAAATAATTATACTCTCTCTTGAGGCCAAAATTAAATTGACATATTTGATCATAATGGGTTGTAGGAACTGTTGCTCATCTGAACAATAGTTTACAAGATTTTCATAAGTAAGAGTAGATTTACTTGTAACATCCCCTTGCTTAGTATCAATACATTGTTGAAGACAGACAAGACTGCTATGTTGAGAGGAGACCCACTGTAACTTTTCATTTATCTCCAATTTCAAGACATATTTTCCAAGGTGGAAAAATGTTTTACCCATACCAACGAGCCCATTGAACAAATGCCTTTCTGAGCAATTTTATAACTAAATTAATCGTGTAAAAAGTTGAAGGAGGGAGGGAATGAGGTCTACAGTATCAAGGATCACTTGCTGTCCGCTTACCAGCCAATCAGCAGCGAGTTTCACAGACCGGGCCTCACTCTCGGACTGCGCGGAAGATTGGCCCGTTACCGCCTTCACCTCAGCCAATCAGCAGTGCCGCTCACTTCACACTTCTCAAACCTGATCCTGCAGAATCGTATAAATACTCTCCAGCCTCGCCGTGAAGGTCATTCTACTCAGCGCTCTCAAACAGACAAGACCTCCTTTCCTACAGTTCCTCGGCACTTCCAGGCACCGCACTACTGCTTACCACCCTCAATCCAACGGCATGGTAGAGCGGTTTCATCGGCAGCTGAAGGACGCCATCAAGGCACAGCACGATCTCTACAGCTGGACTGATGCTCTACCCTTAGTGCTCCTTGGCATCCGCGCATCACACAAAGAGGACATGGACTGCAGCCCAGCAGATCTCACCCTAGGCGAGCCCCTTTGCCTACCCGGGGACTTCTCACTTACTCCTGACCTTGACCACTTCACTCCTGCTGCCCGTCATGACCTACTGCAAACACTATGACAAGCAGTTTCTGCATTCAAAGCTACTGCCCCACGCCAGCCTTCTCCGTTGCCCTGAAGTCATCCCTCCTGCACTACTCAACGCTGAGTATGTCTTCTTCAGGAGCGATGCTCACCTCAACCCACTTCAACGCCCCTACGACGGAATGGTTAGCGAAGTTCCTGACGATCATTCGCAATGGCAGACACGACACCGTCAGCATAGATCGAGTGAAGCCGGCCACATTACCCGATGGGCCCCCAACAAACCACGCCTGCACCAGTCTGCCCGCAGTTGCCACTTGCAGCACCACCTTGTCCACAACATTTCTGGGTACCCTCTTTTCATCCTCAGGTACCTACTGCTCCTGATGAAGACCCTGCATCCGGCCCTATGGACCCAGACACCCCACCCGGCGCCCCTGAGGACTTTGCACCTGTCGCGAGAGAAGCACCACATTCCTCGCCTGTTCAACCTTCTATTATCTACAACCCTCCTTCTCCCTTTGCTTCTCCCACAGATTTTGTGTCACTAGACGGAGTCGTCACCCGTAGCGGCCGCGTGGGTCACACCCCCGCCCGTTATGTCTCACGTGTGGGATACAACCCTGCCGACAACAAGTTTCCTGCACTGCCCGGAGGGTAGGGGGAGTATTGTAGTGGATACTCTTCCCTACAAGTGCTGGCTGATCACTTGCTGTCCGCTTACCAGCCAATCAGCAGCGAGTTTCACAGACCGGGCCTCACTCTCGGACTGCGCGGTGATTGGCCCGTTATCGCCTTCACGTCAGCCAATGAGCAGTGCCGCTCACTTCACACTTCTCAAACCTGATCCTGCAGAATCATATAAATACTCCCCAGCCTCGCCGTGAAGGTCATTCTACTCAGCGCTCTCAAACAGACAAGACCTCCTCTCATGTTCCTCACCACACAGCAACTCCCTAGCACTGCATTGTACATATAATATATATATAGAAAATAGCATTGTGAGTTTGCTTTCTCACCTCCATCCTTAGTGCAAGATCTCCTACATGTACGTATGTATGTGAGCCTAACAAAGAGAAAATAGACAAACACAAAGAAATTTGACAACTGGCCAAATACACTAAGCTGCAGTATCACCCTCAGAGCCACTTGTGCACCAAGAATTGTAGATGGTTTAGTAGACAAGATAAATAGTAATGAGCTGGAAAAAGTATAGAAGGAAATGCCTTGAGTAAATTCAATAACAAGGGAACAACTTTGTGCTGCTAAAATAAAGGACACAAATTTATAAAGAAAGGCTTTAGTACATAAGGTGAAGCTTCAGCATTGAGTACAGCCAGTCTGCTTATACAAAAAAGAAGATAACGTTACCACTGTGGATCTACAAGAATATATATATATATATATATATATATATATATATATATATATATATATATATATATATATATATATAATATATATATATATATATATATATATATATATATATATATATATATATATATATATATATATATATATATATATATATATATATTGGAACTTTCCTGATGAGATGTAAAAATAGAAAACGTCGTGTTACTTAGGTGAGCATCAGCTGGAGGAAGGGAGACAAGTATGTCTCCGTAACTCAGTTTGCTCAGGTACGGCCAACTGACTTAGTTAGTAATGTTGTTGTGAACCATACTAAGATCAGAATAAAAAATATCTTATTTTGTCCCTCTACTGTACGGATAAGCAAGACAAACCCCGGGCCCAGGGGTTGGTGTACCCGAACATGTGTCCCTCTGTCGTCAATACTCAGGACTAAAGTAACAAACACAACAAAGATCAGCTGACACTCGTGCGACGCAGTAAAGAAAACGAAGGGAAATTTCTTTTATTTCGAGTTTTTCGAGGCCAAATGTATCATAGACACCATACGATGAGGATTTAGTGAATAGCAGGTAAATATATACAGTTAATGGTCTTATTTGTAAAGGATGTGGCGAGGTAACAAGTGTGAAACGATAATTATTTCGTGACGTAGGTTGGCAGGCAATCCTTTGTTTTGGCTGGATGACGCAAGTTAGTGCTTGTCTCCAGGTACTCTGATGGTCTTATTTCTAGATGACCTCTAGTATATCCTATGACACTACAAGGAAAGTATCATCTGGATAAATTTGATGGTCGTATACGAGGAAAAGGATCATTTAAAAGGGTAAAACAAGGTCTTTAGTTACTTTTTTTTGAACTCGTATCTAATCTTGTAAAAACTTCCTTTATAAATACACATATTTGTTCTCTCCATGATAATAATTGCTCTGAAACTTCAGTATGTCTGATTGATCTTATTGTCAGAGCCTCGTTTACTACTTTACAATTGACAGGAATTGACTGTTAATAGCATTGTAGGACAGACATTGTGTGTACACTGCCACCAGGGTGTTTATAGCTGGACATATTCAAATTAATAGTCAAATTGGATGATAATAGAGCTGAGGTTTAGGTTAGGTTGGATTAGGTTAGATTTAAATTGTGTTTTTCTGATGGTTTTTGAAGTTTTGAACGATTCTGACCTACTTTCAAATAGGTGGATGACCGAAATGATATTTTTACCAAATTCTTACCTAATGAAAAGACCAAAAAGTTTGGGAAGAGCAAACTTTTGTTGGCTAATATAGAGGACTTCACAGCTGACGAGTTATTTGTTTTGATGTTTATATTTTTACTATATTTTCATCAATGAGTTGTGATATAATAATCATTTTATGGAAATTGCTTCTTTTCGTAAATAATTAGGCGATGGTGCGCATTTCTTCGTCTGGTGCACACTGCCTTGTCTTTCTTGGCATGATGTGGCAGTACACAGCCAATCATCTCCAATCGATGACAGTCACCAGTGTCTGTCTATAAGCAACATGGAATCGGGTTGCTCTTCTCACTTCCACAAAAAACGTCAAATTACATGGTATAATAGTAAGTTCTTTCTGTTTAATATGCTGTAGGGACAAGAGTGTTGAGCCTCACGTCAATGAATTTAGGTAAGGTTAGGTTGGTGAGGTCTTCTAACAACGCTTCTGCCGATTGTTTTTCTTATCAACTAAGGTTAGGTGAAGTTTACTTTAGAAATAACCACTTTTTAACACATTTGCCATAACTACAACAGTGTCCACTATAAAACACAGTGAAATTGCAGCATTTTAAAATTCATTTTCTATGAAAAATGAGTGGCTGTGAAGTTGGCAATAATTACCGCTTTTGTAATATTATTTGCAAGATATTTTCCATCCTGAACGTAATGGATGGCTGCATGATACAACGCCACAGCTCCAATGTTTGTTTCATCTACAGGAACACGTTCTGTATGCTTAGTTATTTCATTTTATAGCTATACAGTGATCCCTCAGTTAACGAGCGCCTCGGTTAACGAATTACCTTCCATAAGATTCATAACTTCGGTTAACGAGCATTCCCTCGATTAACGAATTCCTTACGAGTGCCCCTCAACATGTTTTCGCTTGCACACTAGCTGTCATATTAGTCCGCCAATACAGTAATTGGTTCTAGGGTTTAAATTCCTCACTATTTTAGTAAATATCAAGAAGTTTGTACTATTCAATAATTTTAAAAGTCTTATATTAAAATTTTTAGTCATTTTAACAATTATTTAACATAATTTAAGTACTGTACAGGGAAACTAGTTTTTAGCACGCCAAACAGCCTGTCAACACACCATACAGGCGTTAGTCTCTGTGTCTTTTCAGTGGAGGTAACATCTTGCTTCAGACTCTCTTCAACATAAACGCTTTTTTTCTGTGTTTCCAGTTAAATTATTGGTCATTTTGAAATTTATTTTACATATTGACAATATATAATGCAGTGCAGTGTTGATTTAAAGAAAATAATCTTGAATTACACCAAATGAACTAAAATTTTATGGGTGAAATGGCGCCATGGGGTGACTTCTCTTCCACCCCAATGCCTTCTCTTCTCCCTTCTCCTCCACCCCCATTCTAATTCCCATCATCATCATCATCCAGGAGCCTTCTACATACACACCTCAAAGTAAGTGTACTTTACTACCTTTTTTGTTGACTTTAGGCAATTTTCAGTGAACTGGAACCAATTACCCAAAAACCCATTGAAACAATGGTTTCGGTTAACGAGCAACCTTCTAGAACGAATTGTGCTCGTTAACCGAGGGACCACTGTACAGGAATGACTCACTAGCTACTGTTACTTTAAAAGATTTATTGGAAATACTGTATTATGTTAAAACCTAACCTAACCTAGGTTAGGAAGTTAGGTGGGTTTGGTTGCTTCATATTATCACTGATAAATCATGTAATGTAGCAGTATATGGTAAGTTTTTTGAACTGTTGCTTTGGAGGAAATGAAACATCCTGGATGTGAATACCCTGTACAGTGAATATGGCGTCGTAATATGTGGGTGTAAAGTAGTGTTCAGGATGGAAAAAATGGTAATACTTGTACAGTATAACATTATGGAAAGCTTGTTCCTCCCAAATATTTTTGTCTTTTCTTGATGTAAGAAAGTATTTATCCTCTATTGAAAAAAATCGGCAAATTGCTGGTTAATGCGCAATCCTGTTTTCCAGTAATATACCATATTTATCTAACTGTGTACATTATTTCTATTACTTTACAGTTTACCAGCCATTCAGGCAGTTGGTTTGTTCTTTGTTATTATTTTCATTGTCCAGTGTTAGTACAGGAGGAAACTGGAATATCTAGAGAAAACAAGAATGTTTGGTAGTGTCAAACTGAATAACACTCTTCTTATATATGTGATTTGGGTCGGGTATTGATCCTGGGACACAGAATGAGGTGCACACATGTTGCTACTGTACCACCAACATATTTTAACAAGAGTAAAGTTTTGCTGATAAGTGAGTATTGTAACACTGTACATGTGCCACTTTGTATTTTTGAGCAGACTCTTTCATTTTTATGTTTGTTTTAATACATAGAATGTAAACATAATTGAAAGAAAAAATACAAGTTTTAAAATCATCAATGAAATAACTCAAGAGCCAACTAAACCTAACAAGTAACCCAACTCCAGTATTATTGGTTAGGGTTGACTAGGTTTGATTTGGTTGGTTTTGAGATCTGCTGTGTAAGTGGTTTCCACATAGCTAAGAACATTAGAATAAAGGAAATTGTAGTTGGCCTTTTGGCCCATTCGAGGCAGCTTCTGTTTACACCCAACAGGGTAAAGATTCAGAAAAGGTCGACCAAAGAAATTACTAAAAAAAAGTTTTTTCAAGTGTATTTTGTGGTCTTTCAAGCAAAACTAACCTTCATTTCCATTGTAAATGAGCTGTTGTGGAGATATGACTCTCCAATTACCAATAATATTGGTTGCATAAAGTTGGTAGGGTTTTGAAGCAGAGAGAAATTGTGGGGTAAAAACATGCAAAAGAACTGATGAAATGAAACCTAACAAGAAAAACCTGAAGGACCTGACTTAACCTCTTAGCCAGGTGGGTCTCTGTCCCTCCTGGCCCCCACTGTGTAAAAAACTTACCTTAATTAACTTATGCCAGAGGATGTAATGTTCCTTCTTATTGTGTCACGAAGCACCCAACTCTTGATATCCTTTGATAATCATCCTTTATTTTGTGTATGAGCATCTGTAGCACTTCACAAAGGATGGCAGAATACTGCACCATGAGCCTGAAATATTTCAATGGCAGCGGCATCATTTTCAAATACAAGTACACAATGAATGTTTTGCCAAGCTGAGGAAGAACATGCAGTGCAGAGAGGACATCTTAATACAGGTACTAGCCAACTAAAATTCATAACTTGGAGGATGCGTAGAAGTATCACATAACACCGAGAGCAACACTGATTAGCGGGATTTTGTCGCATTACACAGAGAATCACAGTGATTGGCGGAACAAAGCCACGTCAGTCAGATGGAAACGGCATTTCCCGCCAAAATGTAAGTTCTTGTGTGATATTGAAAAGTAAAATATACTTTAAAAATATAAATTTGCAACAGAAACATAATAGAATAAAATACTTTTATTGCTCTATCTCCTATATAAATATAAATATGAAATTGTGTGGTCGACCTTTTCCAAATCTTTCCCCCCAACATTTGTGACTTGTATATCTGTCTAACCTAGTTAGGTATGAAACATGTAATCATGGCTCACCCACATCAGGGTAGAAAGTGGCTGTAAAGTGGTGAAGATGGTGATGGTTTGGTTAAATTAGCCCAGATTCATTGGCAACATAATGTTTTTGTGAAAGAGTTATGATTTTTACTTTTATTTAAAATTCATTTGGCAAATTCTTGTTTACCAAATGAAATATTAAAAGTGGTGCTCATGTAGTGAAGGGGTAGTGAAGTTAGTCTATTATGGTAACCCCATGTGTATGATGTTCTCTTTGAGATGAATAAAGTGATGAAGGGAATTAAAATTCTTTTTGCCAAACTTTCTTCTTTTCATAATACTGTACCTGTACTGTATAAATGCTGTATGGAGAGCCTAGTTAGTTTGTCAAGTAGTCCATTATATGTTCTACTCTGTAAAATACATCTTGCTGTTGCCTTACACAGGAGACTGGTCATGTCATCAGCCATGTCTGGTGAAAGTGGGCGTGGTTCTCGACCATCAGTGGGTCAGCAGGTTCGTCCTGAGCCTGTGGTAGAGAAAACGTTTGTAGAGAATGTTGCAGGTTTTATCAATGAGGTAAGTTGTAAGCATGATCATTTGCACCATGAAAGTATGCTACATTTATTCCCTCTCACATCTACTTAACTCATCCTCACTTGCTTTACATATGCTCTCACTCTTGTTCAAAGAAGATAGAGTAAGGAAATCTTACTCCCATAATATACTGTTGTTTTTAAAAAGTTGTCAGATTCAGAGCTGTAGATAGAGAGTTTGGCCAACCAGGTGTGATGTTGTTACTCAGTGGGTGGGAAGTCTTCTCAGGCTCTCTCCCACATACAGTTATGTTTAAACATGCTTTTCCAATTGTAAACATGTCTGATAATTTTACTGAATAAGCATCATCATCCTCTACAGTATGAGCACAAACTTCATCAGTTGAGTAACAATATGATGCCCACATGTCACTGAGTTGACCAAACTCTATCTACGGCTCTAGTTAGATTGTATCAACAGTGCCATCTGTTGCCCAAGTAATGAACTACAGTACAGGTATTAGAAGAAAATTAATATGGAATTGGTAATCTCAACTAAAATGTTACATAGACAATGAAAATGTGTTTCTTCTGTTTAGTTTTATGTATCTAAATGTTTTAACTTTTAATTCCTCTCGATTATAACTTAGCTACATCTTTATTTCAGTAATATATAACAAGAAATAAGGAATTCACAAATTTTACTTTAGAACAGACTACTATTCCATTACTCATGATGTATGGGGCACAACTGATGTGAGGGGAGTGGTTAAGTCTTGGGTCACACTCCTAGTGAGTTGTCAAACAGTACAGTACAGTACAGTATTAATAATTTAAAAATAACACAGGCTGTTTGAAATATTTTTTAATGGAAGCAGCATGCACACATCAAGTGCTGTGTGTGTAAGGGTTAAAGAAGAACTGAGTTTTCATGCACTTATTCAAACTTGTAAACATAGCAGACTAGACACCTGCGACATTGTGCTACAGTGGAGCCACCTACTGCCTGAGTAGCCAAATAAAAGTGATTATTAGTGTCTCTTGTCACATCACACTTGTTTTATGGGAATCAGATTTCCTTACTCTATCCTCCTGGCTCTTGCTCTACATTTACTATTACTTTCACTGTAAGCTCACTCTGTCTTGTCTTTTACACTCAGTTTCACTTGTACACTACCATTGTAGAAACACATTTGCTTTTGTCAGCACTGTACTATATTCCATGCATTTTTTTCCTGTTTGCTTACTCTTTGTCAATAGATTTATCAAATACTTTTACTTCCTTTCCAAATCTGTCTTCATGTTTTGCCAGAGTTGTACTGTAATATGTGTCTTAATAACCTCTCTCCTGGCTACTGACAGTGAGGTGTCTTGTTAACTCATCCACATAGTCAAAATTTCTGTCATACACCTTAACAATTTTCCCGAGAAATCCAATTTCTCTGTAATTTTTTTTTTTACTTTTTTCTTTTTGTATTTTGCAGAAGTGTCACTGCTTAGATCCATCACATCATCTTGAACACACCCTCTTTGTCTTGCTTCTTTATCTTAACAATTTCTGTCACATGATATAAAAAAGACTGTTGTTTATTTATTGTACAAATAATTTGACATTCCTGGAATGTTCTGTATTATCCATATCATTTATGCATTAATGGGAAATGAATTACAGATAATTATTTATTTGCAGGTGGCTCCACAGACCTACAGCAACCCATCACACTATGAAGGCAAAGAAACCATCTTATGGGTGCGATTTGATTACTGTGACATTAATGACTTGGCACGATTTCGAGATAAGATAGAAGTTAATGGCAATTCCCCACCCCTTCTGCTCATTATAGGATATGGATGTGGAGTACAGGTAAGAAACTTGTGTAGCCCTTATGCTCCTGAAGGTTTCCCTAAACTGAATAAAATCATCTGGTGGTAGCCAGAATAAATTCCTAAAGTGTGACAATTGGCACAAATGGGTTAAATGCAGAACTGAAGATTACATGATTAATTAATTTAACTTCATAAAGGGGCTCACTATCTGCCCTAATATTATGGTTTCAAATTGTTTCTTCAATGTTTTCTCGTCTTATTTTCTTAACAGTAATATATGATCAAGTATCTATATCTATATTTAAATACCATTATATTTGTCTGTCTACAGGGTTTCTATCTCTCTGACAGTAGTTATGTCGTATTTGTCTTATTTTCTTGTTTCCAAAGAGGTGTTTTCCAGTACCTAGCAAGGTTCTTATAATCTTCTTTGTGTATTCCAGTTATTACTTAATTCCAGTTGCTCTTGTAATAACACCACTCAGAGTCATTTCTTTATATTTTGGCATTTAAAGTAAATATTGAACATAGAAGTTGATAAGCTTAGTACACTAAGACAAATTTATTATTTGGTCCACTTATAGCCAAAGCTGGGTATGGCTGCAGTCATCAGTGTGCTTGTGCAGTATTGTATTTAGCAGCCACTTACAGTAACAACTTAATAAAGGAAAATTGTGCAATACATTTCATTCTTAGTGTCATTATAGTGTTTACCCTGCTTGTTATTGTGACCACTAGTGGCAGGGGTTAGTTTCTCTATGCTCTCATGATCAAGCCTCACCTCTTATTTAACTAGTGGCAATTTCTTAATAAAGACTAGTGATGGCATAACACAGCAGTATTTAACAAATGTGAAGTGACAGATGAAAATAAAAAAGTCTAATGTAACTTGATTCATTAGCTGAGTTTTGTTGGCCAACTGCTTTCTGGACAATTCACCTCTCCAGACACTGGCATTTGTTACTTGAATAAAGTTGAATAGTAAACCTAACCCAACTAATCTTAATTTAGCCAAACTAACCTAATGTCATTGAGTCCAGCTTTACAAAACTCAATACATATTAATTCTTTACCATAGGTCAACTCTCGTTTTGGGCAGAAACCTTAGTCAATAGTCTCTCTTCCTGTATCTGCAGTGTTGCTTTATTCTCTCTTTTACAGGTACAGTTTACTCTCGATTTAGCAGAAGGAATTTTTCTGTTATTTTTCACTCGATTTAGTAAACTAGTTTGCTAAATTGAGATTAATTACATTAATACACGTACACCTATGGAGACACCTCAGACACATGATATGTACAGTAGCTAAAAAAAGTATCTGACAAGGTGGGTCCGTTGACTTAAAAAATTATACGTACAACTCGTGATGTCTTGGGAAGGCTGGTATGCGTGTCTTCACCCACCGCCATTCAGTATCCAACACAGTGGGTGAGTTAACAGATAGGAATAAAATAAATGGTTAAATGAATACTATCACATAGTATAAGGAGACAACACACATATCCCAATACCTATCGTCTGTGGTCTCATATTGTTTCACACAGAGTATGCACAGATACTTTTTAGCTACTGCACATAGAAACATCAGAAACATTATTCATGGCATACTTTAAACTAGGGGGTTTGGTGTTTGTTTTCAAATTTTTCTATAATTTCCAAACGTTTTTCCAATTGATGGCTGCACTCTTCTGACTTTCTCCTCCACACCACTTCCTTTTTGAGACTTCTGAGTGACTTTTGGCATGATGTCTAAGCACAGTAGTTAGTTGAAGGAGAGGTAGCAGTGAACAACACACTTGGTGGCGGCAGGACACAAACTGAGCGGATGTAAACAAACACCAAATGCCCAGTGGTGCATTTGGTGTGGAATTCAACGGAATCATGCTGATTTCGCGTACTAGTTCGCTAAATTGAGCGAAAATAACGAAAAGTTCGATTTAGCGGAAATTTTGATTTAACAGAATGGGGTAACTCGATTGAGTTCATTAAATCAAGAAAATACTGTACTTTAATGGACAAAGTTTGGTGGATTTGGCATTCGGTGTACCACTGGCAAAGTAATAGGCTCGTAACACTCATCTTGCCCATGGTGACCACTTTATCTGTGTGGATGTCAGGCATACTAGAATAGCCTGTTATAGTATTTCCTTCTTTCCTCACACAGCCATACTGTGGAATACTTTTCTTTCTTCTGTGTTTCCATCCTCTTACAATCTGCCTCACTTCAAAAAGTTGGTTTTCTGGCATCTTTGTGGTATAGATCAACATACTGTACTCTTTTTCATTTCTAATTTCTAATATTTTTTTTTATTCTTATTCTTTGCTCCCCAGGCCCTGTTGTGGGTCGATAACCTGTGCCCGGATGGGCTATTCCCCTTAAAAAAAATAAAAATAAATAAATAAATTTATGAGATCTTGTTACTTTGGGACAGTGGGCATACTGTAAATGGTGATGTTACCTTGCAGGCTTGGGTGATACCAGTCAATGGAGAAGCTATGGAGGTACTGTCATGGCGCCAAGGAGCTGTGCGAACTCTCAAGGTCCTCCCCACCCCAGCCACCTCTGCTAGTACTGTTGATCACTACTCTCTTAAGCGGCCAATTATTGCACTCTGTGATACTGCTGGACCAGGCCCTCAGTTCTGTTCAGTTTCTTTCATTTCTCTGAAAACTGGTGAACAGGTATGTGTGGATATTATATGTTCATTATTGGTATTATACAATATGTATTATATGTTCATTATTGGTATTATACAATATGTATTATATGTTCATTATTGGTATTATACAATATGTATTATATGTTCATTATTGGTATTATACAATATGTATTATATGTTCATTATATGTTTGTTGTTGGTAAATTATATTTGTTAATACTATACAAATTTCTTTCATTTCACAAATCATCTTAGTTGATATAATATTGAAAATACTGTACAGTACTGTAGTTGGAAACTGCTTTACCTTTTCATAGATAAGCTGAGGTATAAAAGAAATTCTTTATATATTTTAAATATTTGGGGTATTATAACATTGAATTGTCTCTTTGTCCATTGAATTTCTCACTTCCAATGGAAAACATTTCAATGGAATTAAAGTTCTCATTCACTTTTAAGTGAAGTGGCCAAATTTTTTCATATTATGTTTGTGATGTCAAATACATCTCAGGTAGGGATGGAAAGAAGGGGATTAGGACTGGTAGTAAACTAATGTAGGAGATTTAGGAAATCCAAGTACTTGAGTTTGATACTATGCTGACATGATATTTAGGATGATGAAACAAGGGAGACAGGCACAGGGGAGGAAGATGATGAGTACTTTTGAGAGAATTTGGGAAGGAAAAAAATATCTATGTAGTATTTAGGAAAGGCATAAATTATAGCGTATACCTGATCCTGAGCTATGAAAGTGAAACTTGAATATAATATGGAGGTGACATCTTTAGAATTAAGGAGATAGATATGAACTAATTAAAGGGTGCCCATATTATTAGCAGATGTATTTAGTTAACAAGAGAAACCTGTACACTGAATGAGGGATTAGTTGAAAATTAAAGACGTGGTGTGATACCATAAATCAATTGTGTACGGGCTCCTCTGAACGAATAAAATTGACTGGCCAAGTATAATATATTAATAGTGGCATCCCCATAGTGAAGGGGTTAGGTAAGTTTTAGGAAATCACTTCAGGTGATTGGATTATAAGGAGAGGATATCTGGTAAGTGAGACAATGAAGTAAAAATGAAGAGATACTGGTAGTTGGGGACTGTCAGGGGAAGGTCTCATGAGAGTGCTAGGAGAAGGGTATATGTTAGCGTAGGCTGGAGACTCATCTCTTGTGACTGACCTTTCAAGGGGAGCTCCTAAAGAGGAGAGGCATCAGATTTAAAAAAATATATATAAATTATAATATCAGGTTTAAACAAGGGGTAAATAATAACATAAAAAAAGGAAAAAAATAGCAACAATTATAAGCAAAGAAAGTTATGAAGAATGAAATAGAGGAAATAATTTACAAGAAGGACAGTTAAAAGTTTAAGGTAGAAATTTTAGACAATACGAAAAGGGGAATTGTTAATCTCATGTAAAAAAAAAATCACATGGAGAAGACAAACTTCTCTAAGGAAACTGATGGATCCATTTGTATGTACTGTATATAATATTACCTGTTGACAGCTTTATAAACCACATTGAGAACTGTTTTATCATTGTACAAATAGTAAAGTTGAGATCTCTTTTTCAGGTAAAGACTATAAAGTTCAAACATCCAGTGTATGATATTCATGCAAATAAGAATGTTGTCGTTATTGCGTTTCCGGAGAAATTGGCCGTCTTTGATGCTGCCACTCTGGAAGACACCTTTACTGTCACTACCTGTTACCCATGTCCAGGACCCAGGTGTGTTAGATAAAGTGATTCAATCTCAGCAGTAGGTGTGCATAATCATTTATCTTTGTTTTGTTTTGTTTTTATTTCCAAAGTTACATTTTAATATGAAGTATAATAGTTTGGGTGGTTAGAAGATATTCAAGATAATTGAGGGTCAAAAAAGGCTTGACCTGATTACTTTCTTGATCTTATGATTCTTATCACATCTTCTGTTTATACTTTCTCATTGAAGATAATGCATTGATATTGAAACTTAATTAAAATTTCCATTTTATATATACAGGTACACCATTTTTTCTGTAGTTATCTGTTTATTATCTTTAACATCTACTCTTTTCTTGCACATACACACTGACTTTACATCAACACTACCATTGATGATTAGGAATATTATTGTACTTTATGAATTATGAGATGCATGGGCATATAAGACACATTCATAGTTCAAGAAATGTTTAAGGAAAATATTTATGAATATTTTTTTCCTGTAGCCATAGTTTTCTTAAAATAAGGCGTAAAATCATATTCAAAGTGTAAGTACATTACTCAAACATCTGTTATTGTTATAATTGTTAGTCATTGTACAAAGATGTCCATACTAAGTACTCCAAAATCATGAAATGGCATCTGAATACAAGTCTTTGCTGCACGCCAACATGTGACATTGCCCACAAGTGAGACACTAAGAATGCACGGTGGTGGCAGTCTGCGTATTCACTGTTATCATCATAATTTAAATTTTTTTCTTCAAAACTAAAGGATGTTACCCTATAAAAATAATAATATAAATGTTGCAGGTTTAACATTAATAGATAGTAATGCTTGTAAGAGTTGGGAAACAGTTACTGCTCAGCTCTGAAGTGTTGGGTGCTGTACTAATGCTAATCGTCTTGAGCTATCATCAGAATTAGTGCAGTTATAAATCCAAATGATTTATAATAATTCCTTTTTTATAAATTAAAAGTAATGATGTGTTTATGTAAACGAAAACATATTTTTAATTCTTGAGTTGGGTTAGGTAAATTTTACCCTACTGGAGACAGCAGCTAGTAGATTCATTAGCCTATGGAAGACCACAAGTTTACATATAGGATGCGGGGTGATTTTTTGAGCCATTCTTCAGGAAAACAGTGTGTCTTATATGCCTAAAATACGGTACATACTGTACTGTATTCAGTATAAATATTATTTTTGATGGGAATATCAACAAAACACCAAGATATAACTTGCAAAATGTGTCTTGTCTTTTTCAGTGTAAATCCAATAGCTTTAGGTGACCGTTGGTTGGCTTATGCCGACCGGCGCCTAGTTCCTCTTCACCAGTCATGTGGTGGGATGGTCCCTGAGGGATCTACATCATACAAAGCAACTGTCTTTCATGCTGCCAAGTCCCTTACTAAGGTGTGTTGAGTTCTATTTTTGTTAACGTGTTAATTATTTAATCCTTTTTTAATCATAATTCTTTCATTCTCTGTTTGATGAGCTTACCAAAAAAATAAAAGAGGTATATATACAGTATTTCATAACAGTATTTTTTAGGAATAAATTGAAGGTTCAGTTTGGTAGATGTTAAATTTAGGGACAATAATGATAAAGATGTAACCAGCAATTGAATATAGAAATCCCGTGTTTTTCGCGGGAATTATGTTCCTGAAACCCCCACGAAAAGCCAAAACCGCGAATACTCTTTTAGGAATCACTGTACCTGTGACCACCAAATAACTCAGGTAGGTCATGCACTTAACCATGCCATGCACTCCACTCACGGCCCAGTGGTCACACTGATCACTGATGCTCTGTACCGGCATTTATTTACTTCATTATTTGAAACTAATCATATTGTAGTATAATAATAGAAAAACGTAAACACAGTTATATCCAAAAAAAATTTATTTACAAGTAAATAAATTTTTTTTATTTCGCTGAGGTCGGCAACACCCGCATTGCCAGCCTCTCCCTGCTGTCCCGGCGTCTGCCCGCCCTCACGCAGTCACAGTAGCGTTCACAGTACGGTAGGCACGTATGGACTGAGGCTTCTCGGAGCAGCGGGTGTCTGAGAAGGGAAAAGGTGGCGTCTGTTTGCCTCACCGCATGGGAATATAAAAAATGGCGCGAAATGAAAATTTTTGTTTTTTAAGGATATTTTGTATATGTATATATAATTTTTGAGTAAAAAAACCGCAAATGGTCAAAACCGCGATAAAAAAACACGCAAAAAACACGGGATTACTGTATCATGAATGTGGGTGATAAAGAGATATTCTCCTTTTGCTATGGCAGAGGAAACACCATCAATATGGACTGTGACAACCAATTGGTCGATAATATATTGTCCATGTCATAATATGTGAAATATAGCAGAATTATTGAAAGATGGAAAAACAAAAACAATTGAGATAGTGAAAGAACTCCCTTCTTTCATTAGCATGACATCAGTATTTGCATGAAACATAGCATCAAAGCTTGGCACTTTGGCTGTAGTAAAAGTCATTATGGACTAAACAATATCTGTAAGATAGAAAAGATTTGAAAAGCAATCACTTTAGATTTCATGCTGGTCATAGAAGATGAAGGGCATGCTTGTTTATGACTCGGAACAATTTTGTCACAACTAGTAAGGAAAGGTGAGCCATATCTCATTAAAGGAAGTGGTTATGTCTTGAGATAATTACCATGAGCATTTATGGTATTTGAAAATACTAATTTGAAAGGCATTGTTTATTAAAAAGAAAACTTTGTAATGGTGGTTGAAAAGTTATTGGTGGTAGTTGAGGAATGATGAGAGAAGAGCAAAGAACATGCTGAAAGTAGCAGTGGACTGAATGTTGTATAAAAATTATTGTAAGACATACTGGTTGTGCTTAAGTGATACGGAGATATGGAGATAAGAATTGGAAGCACTAGATTGGAAAAATTATTGTAATCAGAGGTGGGTGGTAGGAGGCAAAGAGGGATACCAAGGAGATGGAGGGATGGAGGTTTAGATGTTGAAGAAGCAATAGTGTTTGTGAGAGCATGGCATTGAGTAATATTTTGGAAAACTTAAATCTTTTGATTACACACTCACCCATCCCCACACACACCTACCATCACCCACTCACCCAAATGTACCCACCCCATCCACCTACCCCAACCCTGCCCCCACATATACAGAAACAAACACACCCACACTCACAAAATATCCTCCATGCTGTACATACAAACACAGATACAGACTCATAAACCCTCAAGGTTTACTACCAGCATTACGTATAAATAATACATACTTATCTGTACTATCAAGAGCAATTTTCTGGTTTACTTATCTGAATAAATAACTTCTTTCACCACTTGAAATAACAAAGGGCTACCTGACTGGAACTTTCTCAACAATAGACAAAATGACAAATGTGGTGGTGATCCCTTTTTTTAAACTTTTCGATGGCAGATTTAAATCATATTCTTTTTTTCAAGATGGACGAATAAGAAGAGTGGCACAAAATTGGTCATAATTTGTGTCAGATTAAGGTGATAAAAAAATTCTCTCAGCGAGTCAAAAAGTTCTCGGTGGGTGTATCAGTGTGTTATAAAGTTCTCTCGGTGGGTGTATCAGCGTGTTATAAAGTTCTCTCGGTGGGTGTATCAGTGTGTTATAAAGTTCTCTTGGTGGGTGTATCAGTGTGTTATAAAGTTCTCTCAGTGGTTGTATCAGTGTGTTATAAAGTTCTCTCGGTGGGTGTATCAGTGTGTTATAAAGTTCTCTCGGTGGTGTATCAGTGTGTTATAAAAAGTATCTCTCGGTGGGTGTATCAGTGTGTTATAAAGTTCTCTCAGTTGTATCAGTTATAAAGTTCTCTCGGTGGGTGTATCAGTGTGTTATAAAGTTCTCTCGGTGGGTGTATCAGTGTGTTATAAAGTTCTCTCGGTGGGTGTATCAGTGTGTTATAAAGTTCTCTCGGTGGGTGTATCAGTGTGTTATAAAGTTCTCTCAGTGGTTGTATCAGTGTGTTATAAAGTTCTCTCGGTGGGTGTATCAGTGTGTTATAAAGTTCTCTCGGTGGGTGTATCAGTGTGTTATAAAGTTCTCTCGGTGGTTGTATCAGTGTGTTATAAAGTTCTCTCGGTGGGTGTATCAGTGTGTTATAAAGTTCTCTTGGTGGGTGTATCAGTGTGTTATAAAGTTCTCTCAGTGGTTGTATCAGTGTGTTATAAAGTTCTCTCGGTGGTTGTATCAGTGTGTTATAAAGTTCTCTCGGTGGGTGTATCAGTGTGTTATAAAGTTCTCTCGGTGAGTGTATCAGTGTGTTATAAAGTTCTCTCGGTGAGTGTATCAGTGAGTCCAAAGTTCTATTTGGGTGTATCAGTCAGTCAGTGTCTCAAGGCTAGTGGGACACTGCTGGTCACACACAAATTCCTAATAACTACACACATGGTAGATCAGTTTCCGATAGATGTAATTCATTATTATTGTGAACAATTATACTGTACATGTATTAATGATGCCCGATCTATAGATTTCTTGCCAAAATTTCAAAGGATAATGAATTTCATTATTATGTATTTACTGATCTCTTCACATAATAAAAATGCATATTAAATCAGTATGAAAATGTAGATTAGTTAAGTATTTCTGCAGTTGTATCAAACTGCAGGTACAGTAATATCTCCGTTAGCCGGAATCCCTCAAACCCGGAACTCTTCGATGGCCAGAATTGAAATTTTCTCGGAAAATCATTCCCAAAGCCATAATTTTCCGTAAAATTCCGGCTTTCGGAACGATTTTCCCGAAAATTCCGAGAAAATTTTCCTGATACTGGGAAAATTCTGGAAATTTTCGGGGATGGGGGAGTTTTACTTGGGTTTGAGAGATGAAATTTAGACACATTTTCGGGTGAATTCTGAGAAAATTTTTCCTGTGGCTGGAAAATTCCGGGGATGGGGATATTTTTCCGGGTTTCAGAGATGATGTAATGGGCAATTTCTGGAACTTCTGGAAAATAATTTCAGTTACCTGCAAAATTCAGGGGATGAGGGTGCTCTCCACCAGTTGTTCTGGCTAACAGAGATATAACTACTAGTATATACAGGGTATAAATTTTCACCTCTTTGCTGAGGTCGTCACAGGACAATAATAGATGATAAAAAATGTGCTGTACAGTATATGAAAAGCAAAAAACTAATATACCTCCTTACCAGAGATTTGAAGACAATCGGCTTCAACAAACAGCAATAAAAGTGTAAGAATGATATTGAAAAATAATGTGTAAAGGACACAAAATAGAATAACAAACAAAAGTATTGGAGGCTGTTTCTCAAATGAACCTAAAATTGTTATGAATGATAGGAATATTTCCTCATTAGTGGCCAATTTGCATTATGAAAGATGTAGCAAAAGTTTTCATGGAATATAAATATTTTTTCCAAAAAAATCAATAGAAATTACACACACACACACACACACACACACACACACACACACACATACATATGTTTAACAAATTTGGTTGATTAAATAAAAATGTGTTTAGAGCTTTGTTGTTGAGTGTTTAGCTTCATCTTAGTGTTTTATACTGAGTTCACTTCATGCGTTAAGGTTTCATGCATTTACCTTTCATGCTGCCAAGTCTCTTACTAAGGTTTGTAGTACACACAGGCGTGTCACTGCAATGATTGTTTTGCAAATTTATTTTGTGTTTTTTATCATTTTAACACGCTGCTTAATAAGTATTCACTGTGTTTCATTTTGTAACCTCTTTAGATGGCTTTTATTTATTTTTATTTTGCTTATTGTTAAGTTAAATGGGAAAAGTTTATGATCATGCTGCTTTGAGATTCTCCAAAATATATTTTTCTGGGAGGACTGAGAAAATGAAAATTTTTATATAAGATGGCTTCTTTTGTTCTATATAGCACTGAAAATTTAAATGGTCTTTATTATAAGTGTAAAGGTAAACTGTTTCCAAAAATGATACAGAAGGAGAAAGTGTAAGTTGGTCATCAGTATGAAATAATTATTTTAAACTAGTACAGTATTGCTACTGTAAGATATTTTTTCCCGAATGAGTTTAATATTTCCTTTATTTTGTAGTTGCAATATTGATTACTTATTGTCATATCTTTGGACCAGTTAATTGTTTATATGGTTTCTTGTTATGCTTCAAAAATTTCATTTTCAGTGAGATGCTTCAAACAGAATTTGATCGACACGGTCTCTTTCTTGAGATCACTTTACTGAACAGGATTATTTTAAATTACAATACTTGACTATAACTGAATTCGTATGTAAATATGATAGTGGGGAAGATAGACTGTAGCTGAAGTTAGAGTGAGTGATATATTTTCAAAGAATGTTTAGTTCAGTTACTGGTATACTGTACTGTATGTGGATTATACTGTCAGGAGACTGAAGTGGAGGGAAACATTTGCAGTAGTAGAATTTAGGAGATTATCTGAGAACTAGTAAGTTTAGTGGTTTTACCAGAAACAAATGTTGCTGAAGATTTTAGCTCTTGTACTTACCTTGCTTCATAGAAAGAAAGGGTTTATATGGGTAAAATATAATCCTGTGTAAATGGAAAATCATAGAGGTCCAGTATTAACAGACTTTATATTTTTTAGCTTACAATTGTCACAAGGTTAAATCAGATTGCAAAGTAATAATTGTGACAAACATGTGTCAAAAGAGAACATTTGTTGATTGAAGCAAATGTTCACATATTGTTGGGTGAGGTCCTTTCTTTAAATATCATACAGGATATTTTTTTATTAATACAGTACAGTATTTTTAAAAGACGTAACAAATGTTTAGAAAATTGTCAGTTTCTATACTGTAAACTTCCACTGGTAAAACAGCAAAATCCCTTTGATCATGAGTGTTTGAGTGGGTTGAATACATATCTTTATTATTTATTTTGTGTTTTATTCAGCACACTACAGTATAAATAGTAATTGCACAACATGACAAAATGGAAAATATTTAACCAGTAGTTTCAATTTCATATGATTTGCATGTAGACAGTTTTCGCTCCTGCATGATTATAATAAAGCCAGTTCCACATGCAAGTATTTTTACAAATATAATGTATTCAAGTTCTTGTTCATTTTACTTGAAAATAATGTGTTTTAGCCATTGTGATTGAAGCCAAATCAAGAACATGTCTTGATCTTGGGTCTTTGGTCTGTTGTTCATTATTTGTGTCAATGTTTAACATCTGCTTCAAATGTTGCGATGATTTTTATCAATCTTGTTGTGAGTGAGGTATGTAGCAGGTAATGTGTCTTTTTTCAGGTGATCTCCCTTACATCTATTTGGTGTTCTAACCATCTGGTAAAAACATATTTTTTTTACAAAACCCAAACTACTGAACTGTATAATGGAAAGACCTGTTCATGTTTGTTCAAGGGAAATAGTTTCATAATGCTTCAGCAACTGTGTGATTTTCTTATCTTTGGTTGAGCTGTGGAATGTGTAAGGCCATGATGATACAATGTTCTTAGATAGCCTTTGAAGGACTTTCTTGAAAGTAGATTTGAATGGAAATTTGGCATTTTCTTATTATATGGTATATTTTTTTAATTTTATTTCCCTTGACACAAGTTAATCATAAATAACTAAATGACTTGTTGTAAAAAAGTGATACCTGTAATTTGATAGTGAGATATAATTTTCTTATCTTGACAAAAATGTTTTTTGTTTTGGTTTGATTTGCTTGTTGGCAAATGATGGACAGTAGTGTCAGTTCTTCACAGATATAATCAAGGGTTGAAAGTAGTATTATAGATGGATATTGATATGATTCATCTTCATAGAGAAAAAATTCAATTGATATGAGAGGGGATGTAGGCAAGGTTAAACATAGAATGAATGATACTGTAGTGTGTGATCTTTTTGTAAATTTAATTGGACCAATTTTCTGTGTTTTGTAAACTTGTCTGTCCATCTCACTCCATTGTGATGTACAGTACTTGTCGAGGAACAAGTGTACAGTGTAGTAAATATAAAATAAGCAAATATATACTAAGTAAATTAATAATATTTCTATGAATTAAACTTTTATTAATAATTCGCGATTTACTGAAACATATGCACACTCACTAAAAGATTAATCTGCACCTTTATGGGGTTATACATTACTGTCTGACACACCGGACCAAGAAATCTGATAATACACATCACAGCTTGTGTTGCAGATGGCTTCAGAGCCAAGGGTGTAGAGTATTTTTTTTTAATTCAGAGGGATTTTGAATTACAGTAAGGCCATCACAGTAGGTGTGTATTACTTATGAAGATGTATATGTATATATAAATTTCAGGTGTTATAAAGACAATAATTTCCATACTGACATTGTTAACGAGTCTCCTGAGCCAATTATCTCCATGACTTACTGTCACAACGAAGAAGCTGAATTGATAGAAAAGTGGCCTTTCACTTTTATCTCGTGTGTGTGTGTGTGTGTGTGTGTGTGCGTGCGTGCGTGGTAATTCGGTAATTCATTCATTACAGTACAGTGGTCCCTCGGTTAACGAACGCCTCGGTTAACGAAATTTCGGTTAACAAACTGCCTCCCATAAGATTCTTAAATTCGGTTAACGAACAAAAATTCGGTTAACGAATTTCTTACGGACCGACCTCAACATGTTTTCGCTTGCATTGGCCGGTCAACCAGCTTTAGTATTAGTCCGCCAATACATTAATCGGTTGTAGGGCTTAAATTCCTTACTATTTTAGTAAATATCAAGAAGTTTATACTATTCAATAATTTTAAAAGTTTAATATTCAATTTTTTAGTCATTTTAACAATTATTGAACATAATTGAAGGTAAAGTGACTAGTTTAATGCACGGCATCCAGCCTCTTAACACAGCAAACAGGCGTTAGTCTCTCTCTGTTTTCACTGGAGGTAACATCTTGCTTGAGACTCTCTTCAACTAAATGCTTTTTTTCTGTTTCCAAGCAAATTATTGGTCATTTTGAAATATATTTTACATATTGACAATATATAATGCAGTGCAGTGTTGATTTAAAGAAAATAATCTTGAAATACACCAAGAGAACTAAAATTTTATGGGTGAAATGGTGCCATGGGGTGACTTCTCTTCCACCCCAATGCCTTCTCTTCTTCCTTCTCCTCCACCCCCATTCTAATTCCCATCATCATCATCATCCAGGAGCCTTCTACATACACACCTCAAAGTAAGTGAACTTTTCTACCATTTTTGTTGAATTTAGGCAATTTTCGGTGAGCTGGAACCAATTACCCAAAAACCCATTGAAACAATGGTTTCGGTTAACGAATTTTTCGGTTAACGAACAACCTGCTGGAACGGATTGTGTTCGTTAACCGAGGGACCACTGTACTAATCATATTTTAGGGATTTTTTATTTATTTTTAGGACAACATGATGGGTTGTGTGGAATACCAGGTATCAATTATGCACTTTGTTTGATCCTCTGGGATGGGTTTATCCTCATGTGATGAAATGCGGCATTTTGCAATATTTTTGGTTTAAATGAAGATGGTATTTCGCTTCAGTTTATTAATACAGCAGTTGAACAGGTGATAAAGCTATGAAACAATAGCTTTATTTTGTCAGTTTTTGGTCATAAAAGATGATAATGTTACTGTTTCTTTTTCACCATCAGGGTCTGAAAGAACTGAGTGAGAGTGTTGCCTCCAATCTTATGGGTCAGCGGGTAGGGTCACCTGCCCAGCAAACTCCACCAACAAACCTTCCAACACCAGGCATAGTGACCATTATTGATACTCAGGTATGCTTTTGTTTTTTTATGTTCAAAAATTATTTTTTTTTAACATTCTTTGACCCAGGCAGCAGGATAAACAGCCTCTGTATCTGTCAGTCTGTGATTATGATTAAAAATTATCTTTCTTTATTCCAAAAAAGTTTGTAAAATAAATAATTTTAACACATTTTGCTGAATTTCATAAAACTTGATTTTTATGGTGTACAGTATATGGATGGTTTATTTGCCTGTGACAAGATGGTATTCCTCTGACGACAGATGATAGTTATGGCCTCTTTTTGTTTAATGGAGTACCTGGGTATATTTCATACTCAAACAACACTTTATTTTAGTTTCCCACAATCCAAGATTTTAATACTGTATGTTATTACTGTACTGATATTTGTTGTAAATTCACATACAATTGTTGTGTAAATTCATCATAAGATATGTGGCTAAGCACAATTTTAGAAGACAATTGCAAAATTTCCTAAACTGTATTATAGTTAGTAAGCTGACTATTTTATGAAAACTTACAAGTGGATCCTCTTCTTTGGTTTACAGATGGTGGGTACTGGTGAGATAAGTCTAATGAGTAGTGGTACAACAAGTGGTATTGTGGCTCACTTCTGTGCCCATCATGGAGCTCCCATTGTGGCTCTTAGCTTTGACCCAACAGGAATGTTGCTCCTGACTGCTGACAAACAGGGTCATAACTTCCACCTCTTCCGCCTACAACCACATCCTCTTTCTGCTGCACAATCTGCTATCCATCACCTGTACACCCTTCACCGAGGAGACACCACAGCAAAGGTAAGTTTCCAAATTATACACGGCACATTATGTTATTGTTTGGAAATCATTAGATAACACACATAAAGGACCTCCTGTATTATAAGGAATATTAAAGAGTTTACTGTCGTCCTGGAGCGTGGTGGTTGAGTTGATTCAGCGCTCGCTTCTTGTTCTGGGGTCAGTGGTTCGATTCCCTGGTGCTCCCAGTTCACCCAGCTGTAAATGGGTACCTTAGTGTACAACTTCGGGAAGTAAAGGCGGTCAAGAGCAGTATCAGCCATGTTGCCTCCTTATGTACTGAAGGCTTAGTATACTGTACAGTGTGCTGTATCCACACTGTTCCTAACAGGCAGTCATGTCTATGGGACCCACTTTCACTGTAGTCCTACTTATTAATTTCTTAAAATGAGTTTGTTTTAACACCCCTCTGTTAGCAAAATAAATAAGAAAAATTAATATCACCTGGTAAGTTTAAGAGGGGGGGGTGATATCTCTGCCCTTTAAGGTCATTTGATGGGGCTTGATCTCCCTCTGCCCCCCCTAGGAGGAAACACTGCTACAATAGAATTAAAATGTAGTTTACAGTGAAGAGAGGCATCACTGCAGGACAGTCATGCCTCCATATGGTGTTTTAACACATGGTGGATGTCTCTGTCCTCTGAGTACAGTAGTTTACATACAAGAAGGAAGCTTAGGCTAAGGAAACAAGTGAGTGGTTTAGAAGGTAAAATTGGAAGTAAAATGTATTACAGTACATACTAAAATTAATGAGTGTGAAGGTAAGAAATTCTTCAAAATGCATGGTACAGAAAACATTATTAGGGAAAAATATCATACATTACAAAAATATTGATGTGAGCTGTGTAGAAAGAGTGAAAGAGGTGTGAAAAAGGGAAACTTTTATGTTGGTGGAATAAAATTTAGTTGTTTTTTCAAGATGAGCTTCACATTGATCTTACCTTCTTTTATATCTGGGCAGTATAATGGTGAATTGTGTTCTTTGGTGAAATAAATTTTTTACAATGATTATTCTTATTTTTCCCCAGGTTACTGACATATCCTTTTCACTTGACTCTCGTTGGGTTGCTGTCTCAACTCATCGAGGAACAACGCACGTTTTTCCAATCACACCATATGGAGGAAGTATAGGAGTTCGCACACATACATCAAACTGTGTTGTAAACAGGTAAGAATTACAGGGTGAAAGTGTGTGAGAGATTGTTTATGTTTTTGTTTCATATACTGTATGGTAAACTCCCTCTAACATTGTGAGCATAGGGGGCCCCTCAAATTCGCGGGGATTAGGTTCTCATAATGGCCGCAAACCGCCAAATCCGCGAATAACATTTGCTGACCGGGGTGGGTGGGGGGGTGTAAATTTTTACTTGTGTATAAAGAAATGTACAGTATATTCCCTTTATGTGTTTGCCCCTAGGACAATTATTTCTTTTACCTGTATTGTATATATATGTGTGAGTGTGTGTAGACCTACACACACACACACACACACACACACACACACACACACACACACACACACACACACAAAACACATACAAATAAATAATAATGAGAAAATCCTCTCACAAATAATCAGAAACAAATTTATTAAAAATGTAACAGTCTACCCTCAAGTCCACGCTTTATTAATATAGTACGGACTTGAAGGTAGAGTGTCACATTTTTAAATATCTTTTTTCTGATTATTTGTGAAAGGATTTTCCCATTACCTGTATTATTTATATGTATGTGTGTCCACACACACACACACACACACACACACACACATATTTACGATACAGGTAAAGGAAATTACTGTCTCTAGAACAAATGGCTCCTTGTCCCAGCCGCAAAAATGCCGGCAACTTTAAAACTACCCACAGACATTCTTGGGTACATCCAGAGTGTCATCCGCAAATAATAGAAGACCACAAAATAAAAATCTGTAAATTTGGGGCCCCCTGTATTGTACAATCACTTCCTGTATCAACCACCTTAACACCTGAAGACTCAACTGCCTCATGATAAGTTAACACAGATATCTCCTTATTTATATCATCTGTTTTTCAATACTGTAATCTGTATTAATGATAATTAGGTTTTAACATTCTTGATCGATTTACATTAGGCAAAATCTGTACAGTATTAACGATAGTTAATGTTAGGCTGACCTCACTGACACTGAATGTAAACAATGGGGAAGCAGATCTTTCCCATCACGTGTCAATTCCAAGATGGCCGATATGCGCAGACATTGCTTTTCCATCCTCCATGCAGTTCACCTACCCACGTGCCGCCTCATGTCCACCATGCGAACTACAGTCCTGTGCTTTGTTTCAATGTGATCACATCTGCCCTCGCTCATTTAACAAACGTGTTTAACGTTGAGCCACCTTGTGATTGCTGTGATACTTTGCCGTTATTAGTGAGAGTAAAAATTTATCGTTTGGATTTAACTCTGTTTTGGTGACTGTTAAGTGATCAGTGTACAGGAACTCTGTCACTTTGAAAATGGCAAGCAAGCATCTTGCTGACTCTCCTTCCTCTGGGAAAGGCAAGGCTTCGAAAAAGACCGTGTCTCTGGAGACAAAATTAGATATTGTTAAGTGGTAGGCTTGTTATTATTATTGTGTTGAGTGTTGTTTATTTTTATTTTTTGTATTTATTTGATTAGTGTATGATCGTTATTTGTGTGTTACATGTTTGCATTGGACAGGCCTGGAATGTATCCCACTAAAACCCATGTTAAAAGGGTCCTGGATTTTGTTAATTTGATCTACGTTAAGAGTTTTCAGGAACACAACCCTATCATAAATAGGGGAGCACCTGTAATTAATAAGTACAGTACTTACTTTTGTTCAGCTATGGTAGAGTGTTTAAATGAGCATTTAGGGGGCTGAGTATCAAGGCCAGGGGAGGAAGAAGGACCCGGGGGTGGCTGGGGCCAGACTGTCACTAATGATGACAAAGGCAACTAACAGACCTATTGAGTTGTAATAATAAATAATAATAATAATTAACGGTTTATTGAAAGAGCTTGGCAGCCAGAAGGCTGAAAATATAGAGTTACATATTTGGGGAATGGGTTTCGAATTACAAATAATATACAAGTAACACAAGTGATACAAATAAGATATATAATAACTAGATGGGGAAAAGCTCAAACTACAGTTCATTTCAACATAGTGACAGTGCAAGGAGTAGTGTTTACTGGGAGTGAATACACTGGTTTATTACAAGTTATTGATAATTTTTACAATGGTTGGGACTGGGCTGTTCTTATAGCGATCAGTTCGTGCACGTATGGGCTGGATGCGTTGTGGTGTCGAACAGCAATTCTCGGGCTAGGGATCTCAGGTGGTAGTAGGAGCCGGTGTCGAGGATGGTGTAGAAGCTTCTTACCAAATTTGCAGATGACGTCGTGGTGATGGTCAGTGAGAGTCGAAAGGGTCAGTGTGTTGAGCGCTTCTTGATATGTGGAGTAGGAAGGGGAGAGAATAATCTTGCATGCCCTCTTTTGCACTTTTTCTAGGTGTTTACGTTGTGTGGCATTTAGGGAGGAAGACCAGGTGGGAGAGGCATAGGTGAGCTTGGGAAGTATGAATGTTGTGTAAACACTGAGGAGCTCGGGTGCAGGAACTCCGAGGGACTTGAGTCGGCGGAGGAGGTGGAGACGGAAACTGGCGGATTTGACAACTTCACTGACGTGTAGTTTCCAATTTAGTTTGTTGTCTATGGTGACATGTGGGTAGCATAGCATGAGAAGGTCAACTGGGACAACTGTTGCACTTTGTGAATGCTATAATTTACACTCAATTTAAAAAATGGATGTTCTTTTATGGGGCATGTTGCAGTTTAAGAAGGGTTATGCAGAGATATCACAAATTAAACTAAATATACACACATTTTTATGTAATTTATTTTCATTCACTGATTCTTTCTACTGAAAAAGCTGTGTTCTGCTGTGATTCTTGTTTTCCACAACAAGGTCCCAAATTTGGTTTATCCTTTGCTGTAAACCCGGTAAAAAAACTACGGTACAGGTGGGGTCCGATGATTTTTCAACTGAACATTCCCATTGTCTCGCGAAGGTTGGTAGCCCTGAATGTGAGACATTTCGTACTTAATTTGGTTGGCTGAAATTGGCTATTTCATTGACGATATTGAATTACTTTGTTACAATATGACTGGAGAATGTAGATTCGTGGATTTGGCGATTTGCAGCCATTTTGAGAACCTAACCCCTGCGAATTTGGGGGGCCCCCTGTATTTCTAGGTAAGTTAAACTGTATGTTATATTAAATGTTCTACACACCGTGGACTGCAGTAACCATGGACGTGGATGAGTTGCCATATAGGAATGCATTATATGTTTGGCAGAATTAGTGGATATAGTAAAGGTATAAGATTATTTTGCAACCGAATTTTGAATCTTTATTTGTATTGCTACTTCACTTTGGGCTAATGCCACATTGTCATTCTTTTTTCGTATTGGAAAATTTACCATGCTGTTCCGAAACATCTGTACAGCTCCTCAGTTCATATAACATACACATTCTTTATGTAAGATATCAGGAAATGTTGGTAGCACTAATTACATAAATCACAATATTTGGCTGCTACAACACCGCTCACAATGTGTATTCGACATGAAGAAATGAGGCAAAGAGTTCCGATCAAGTTTCAAATTGTGTTAGTGTGGCAGCACTAACTCTGACGCATTTCAGAGTGCCGATCACTTGTTTCGAGCACATGTGGCTGAACCCCTAAACGCACAGGGCTACCAATGCGAAGAATACCTCAGGGGCCTTTTTGAAATGCGTCGTTTGTAGTGTCAGTTTTCTTCGCACAGGAATTGTAACGGTAGTTTTTTTACCCAGTGTACATAAGTACCCATCAGCAACTTGTCCTTTCACAGAAATAACTTGATCCATGAGAGGAAGATGTGAGGTAAACAGAATGCAAAGAGTACAATACAAAAACATTATGGAGATATAAATGTGAAAAGAGTATAAAACGGAGGTTCAATTAGAGTTTGTTAAGGTGGTATGGACACACTGAAAGAACTGAGAATGAAAGACTTATAGATAGGAATTTAATTCATAAGTTGACAAAAAAAGAGAGAAAGGGATGACCAACGAGTTGGGAGGATGGTATGAAGGAGATACTGGTGAGGAAAGAGACAGACATCCAGAAAGCAGTGTGTGTGTACCAGACTGGAGAACATTGTCTTTATTAGTTTTTAAGGATGACTGTAATGCTCCATTGTGGATTATAGAAGGGGAATATCAGCAGAATTCATCTGTTACAGCAGTTAGTTAGAATGAATGACCACAAATAATGAGATATTTTGTATTTCTCTTGGTCAGGCCACTACACCGTGTGGGAAAATGTTTGCAACATTATAAAATATCAGGTTTTCAATATGATCTCTCATAAACAATATGATAATTACTAAGTTGTATAAACAATATGATAATTACTAAGTTGTATAAACAATATGATAACTACTAAGTTGTATAAACAATATGATAACTACTAAGTTGTATAAACAATATGATAATAACTAAGTTGTATAAACAATATGGTAACTGCTAAGTTGTATGAACAAAATGATAACTGCTAAGTTTTATCAGCAAAATATGGTAACTACTTTGTATAAACTGGATTTAAACAGTAATTACTGTATGTCACTTGTGTTTTTTACAGTACAGTATATAATTATTTTTGTTTCCTTCTGTTAAATGTACAGTATTTTTTGTCTGACAGTAATAAAATATGTAACACTGTGTAAATCATTTACATATTCCAATACTTTTCTATTCTTTACAACCCCTCAATAAGAAATGTACTAAATGCAAAAGCATTTAATTTTTGTTTCTTTGTCAGGTTGAGTCGTTTTCATCGAAGTGCTGGCCTTGACGACACTCCTTCATCAGGACGCAACTCACCAGTGCTTTCAGCTTCACCCAGTTCCTCAAAATTTGTTTTTGAAGTAAGCCCAAACCTGGCATATCCTAACCCTCGATATCCACCATATCCATCGCCGACGATCATAAAGCCTCTAGTACAGCTTAGACAGCCTTTACTACAAAATCTCATTGGTGAGTACAATACAGTAATTTCTATTTCTTATATACAGTATGTTTGAATAAGGAGAGTTACCCGTAAGTCAGATTTGACTCAAGAGACTTTATTTGGAAACATATGTACAAATACAGTACAGATTTAAGATAGAATACATGAACATTAAATATCATGTTTTAAGTAGGGTACAGTACTGTACTGTATTATACAGTTGGTGCTGTACCTAAATGTGAATAACAGTGTCTATAAAAACTGTATGCTGTATATATCCACCAAATGCAGTAATCCCTAGCCAATCACAGGAGTACCAGCCATGCTTTTGGGTATTCACGTTGTATATTTTGTCCATGATCTTACCAACCACGGTAACCAGTTTTGAGTAAGCATGATTTTCAGGAGATGTCTAGCCGAGAGTGGCGGGAATGCTCACTGAATCGGTTCTATCCAGTGGTTCATCCTGTATGTTCCTTATACGACACTTTGTTATGATCTACAGTATTTACAGTAGTACCTCGATACACTGGACTAATTGGGGCAGATCCTAGTCCGGAAAATGTGAAAGTCCCCCAAAATGTGAATATGTTGGGGGTCTGGACATAATGCTGTTTATCTGGAGTGTTCAGGGGCTGATCCAGGAATATCAAAGGAGGGGGTAGGGGGGTCCAAGAAGTTTTGGGTAGGGGAACATGGCGAGCAAAGCGAGCCCACCTAGCTGGGGGGCTTTGGGGGGCGCTGTAAGAGCCCTCAGAAAATTTTCTGAAATCTGACCAATATCATGGGCAATTTCAGGCTATTTTGAAACCATGTGCACTTGATATTAGGAGATATTCTAAGGTCAATAGTAATTACTTTTTACTGTTCAAAATGCCCGAGTACAATGCTGCATTAAAGAAAAAGTATTAAAATATTCTGATGAAAAGTGGGGGGTCCAGACCCCCAGGACCACCCACCCTGGATCCGCTCTTGGTGTTACAAGAAAATTAGTTGTTGTTATAATGTTACTACTGCACTTCAACAACTAAGGTCATTAAATGCATAACAAGGTTAGGGAAACATTACAGTATTACATAAAAAAAAAGAGATAGAACTTTCTGGGTTGAAAATCAGACTAAGTCTTCTTGTCGACAACTGTTTTCATCGATATGATTGTTTCGTATTGTAAAGTTTTTATTTGTAAGTACTGTAACCACAGAATTTGCCTTAAGAATAAGGAGAAAACTGTATACTGTACAGTACTATAAAGATAAAAATAAGAAAAAATAAGGATGTGTGGGAAATAGAGTGTACAGTAAGTTTTCCTATAATGCGTGTTTTCATTGCGTGATTTGGTTATAATGCGATTAATGTATCGGGAAAACATTTTCTATAATGCAGATGCGATTTGAATATAATGTGATTGGGTAAATGAAAATAAGTTGCTCAAGTACCTAGGAATATGCGGTTACGTGGTTGCCTCAGTGTAGCATCACACAAGGCTGGATGCTGCCCACCCATGCCATCCCCACAGTCTTTGTCTATCTTTCATACACATCAGATGTGTATTTGTGGACTGTACTTTACCTTAGTACTGTTTAATTAAAGTTATTGCTATTAATTACAATGAGTGGCATGGGTGTGAAGCATTCTGGTAATGGTGGTAGTGGAAGTGAAGTGAAAAGAAGAAAATCCATTACTTTTGAACAAAACCTAGATGTGATAAAGCAGTATAAACACGAGACATCATTCAAGCACTATTTGTGGAAATGTTGAAAAAATTAAGGCAAATTGTAATGCTGCAACACAATTAAGTGCAAGTTGGAGCTCTAAGGCATGGCCCAGGGTGATATAAGAGACTGAGTGGGCTGTCTGTCTGTGGATAGAGTCAATCAAAGAAGCTTTTTAACAATAAAAGAAAAAGCCCTTTCAATTTATGAGGACTTGAAACAAAAGTATGAGCCTGAGGATGTCCAGCAATTTACTGCAAGTGGTTTGCAGGATTTAAAAACCACTTCTACCGACACACTGTGAAGTTGAGTGAGAATCTGCAAGCGCAGATGAACTCGCAGCTGCCAGCTTCTTGGCATCTTCAAAACAGTGATTGAGGAAGGGGCTACACTCCCAATCAAGTTTTTAATGAAGATGAAAAGAGTCTGTGCTGGAAGAGGATGCCTTCCAAGACTCCCATCTCTAAGGACGAGGCAAAAGCTCCAGTGTTCAAGGCAGCCAAGGACTAACTTACCGTCATGTTGGGAGTTAACGTGAGTGGTGATTACGGCTAAAATCAGTTCTGAAGAATCACTCGGCCAACACTTGTGCATTCAAATGATACATAAGGGCTAACCTTGGGGTACACTTATGATCAAGCAAGAAAGGTTGGATGACTGGCCAAATTTTTCTGACTATATGTTGGAAACACTGCAAGCTGAATTGCTTATCTGTGAAACTATTGTAAAAGGAAAGATCAGGATTTCAAAATATTATTAATTTTAGACAGTGTATTACTGTAGTGACTGAAGTGAGAATATAAAAGTCGTGTTTTTGCCACCAAATAGAACCTCGTTATTGCAACCTATGGACCAAGGAGTTATTGCTTCATTCAAAGCCTACTATCTGAGGTGCATTTTTGTCAAGATGATAGAGGCAAGTGTTGTTCTTTTTATAAGATTATTTTTTTTTTAAATTTTACCCATTTCTTAAAATACTGTACATACTCAACATAATTTTACCCATATCTTAAAATCCTCAGGTATCCTTGTTACAGACAATAGGTACTCTATATAAAAAGTTCACGTAAATGAGTTTTGGTAGCGAGATGAGACTCACCTATACAATATATACGAAGGCAGGACTCACACTGAGACACATACTACACGACACCCACGTGTAGACATTCAACCGCATGTGTGAACGCACAAACCATCTGGACTGATTCTGAATTTTCCAAACTGTTTATAATACAGTGTATCTGGTGAATAGAGGGGTGGCTTGGAGCACCTCAGAGAGTCTGAAAAAATGAATTCTGGTATACAGGTAGAGTTTCAATAAATCAGACTAATTGGGGCAGACTCCAGTCCGAAAAATGCGAAAGTCAGAAAAAAGAGAATATACATACAGTATATGTATAAGGGGGGGGTGGGGAACACTGCTTATCCGAACTGTTTAAAGCAACTAAGATCTTTAAGTGTATAACAAGGTTATTAAAAGAATATTACATCAACAATAAAAAAAAAATATGACACAGAACTCTCTGGGTTGAAAATCACACTTAAATCTGGTTGTCAAAAACTGTTTTCACCGAGATGATTGTTATTTAATGTAAATTGTTATATGTAAGCAACCACAGAATTTGTCTTATGAATAAATAGAAAACTGTATACTGTACAGTACAGTACTAAAAAGAAAAAAATAAGAAAAAATAAGTGTAGGAGTATATTGTATGTGGAAGACGAGTGTTTATCTGGGAGCAGCTGGCAAAGGGAGGGGGGGGGGTGGATAGCACAGGTGGGTGGCTCCCAATCCCAAAGATTCTTTTAACACTTCTTCATGAATTTTCACCACAATTCTCATATAATTTAGATTCATTTGGTACCAGGTTGATAAAATATTCTCCTAAAAGAATCATCTTTCCTGAAATTTTTTTTCACACTGAACACCGTGTGTCATTTGTTTACAAAGGGCAAGCAGCTGATTGGCTTACCACAACATCAGTGTTCAACTCTTAGTAAATTAGTACAGCACAGTTGTGTATTTATCATCACTTAATAAATACTGTTGCAATGTATTTATCACCACTTAAAAAATACTTTTGTAGTGTACAGCTGCTCCCCGATTTACGGCGGGGTTAGGGACCGACATCCAGGTCGTAAGTCGGAAATGCTTAAATAATAAATAGAAAATCTAAAATGGGTCTCATTTTCTTCTCAGCACCACAAAACACTCACTTTTATGCTTGCCAGCCATTTTAAAGTGAATTACAGAAGAAAATTTTGTCTGTGTACTGACTTTGGGACTCGAAAATACGTAATTTGACCAAATTTTGGTCCGACTGAGGCAGGTCGTAAGTGCGGGTGGATGCAAGTCGAGTAGGTCGTAAGTCGGGGAGGAGCTGTATTTATTATCACTTACTGTATGAAGTAATATTGTAGTGTACAATATTGTGTATCTGCATATACCCTGGTTTATTCATTAATCATTTGTCTAAGTGTACAAGTAGCCAAATGGAGCCATCTTATAACACCCAATGGTAGTAAATAATGTTGTTAGGAAGGTATCTTCATATCAAATACAGTGATATCTTCGTTAGCCGGAACAATTGGTGCAGAGCACCTGGGGAATGAGAGATTTCTGAGTAATGAGAAGACTCTCTCAAAGCTGTAAAAAATCCCTCATTCCTGGAATTTTCCGGAAATTTCCAGGTAGCAGAAAAATTTTCTCGGGAGTTCCAGAAATTGCCCATTACATCATCTTTCAAACCCGGAAAAAAATTCCCTCATCCCCGGAATTTTCCGGGTACCGGAAAAATTTTCTCGGAATTTTCCGGAAAATGTGCCCCTCAGAAAATCGTTCCCAACTCCGTAATTTTCCGAGAAAATTTCAATTCCAGCTATTGGAGAGTTCCGGGTTTGAGGGATTTCGGCTAATGGAGTTATTACTATTATACAGTGTGTTATTGTGACCTCTGTTGTAAGCTGGTCTGCTGAAAGCTCTCATACAAACACGTCTTGAATAAATAACCTTTTGATACAGCTTATCCTTTTATTTTTAAGTCGTATTACAAACAACATACAGTATTGTATTTTTTCTCTATTACTCAAGATGTTGTATTAACCATGATGAACTATAAACCATAAGAGGCCAATCATATGAAATATAATACTGAATCAATAAATAAGTAAACCTGACGAATGTAGCAACACCTAATCAGCCCCAGCCTGCTTATTTACTGAAGTGTCTTAGTTCTCAGTAGGCCTATAGCAAATCTGATTAGACCACTGCACAGTATTCAGTAAGTGTGGTTCTTTTCATAAGATTTTTGTTTATTAATCTTCCCCATTTCTTAAAAAAAAAAAAATAATAAGTATTTCTGGTGACCAGTACCTCAGTCCGAAAAAAGTGAATTCCAATATATCGAAGTCGATTTATCGAGGTTTTACTGCATTAAAGTCCGGTGTATAGAGGTTTTACTGTATTTTCTCCTTTACTATGAGGCTTTCTGTTGTGCTAGCACTAGTCATCACTGAACACTGTACTTATATTCAACTTTGAGCTGCACATTACAGACACTTTAGGTGTCTCTCAGAGGTCACTTCCCCAAACCTCTTATTTCCCATTAGACTCAGCCTTGCCAATCATGGGAAAATTTTAGAACATAATGCCTGCAGTTGGTGAAGGATTACTGTACAATAATGTAAACAGAAACTAATGCATGAAAAGTACAATTCTGGAGGACTTTAATGTAGAATAACAGTTGACTGAAAATTCTGCAAGCACTGATCAACATATGGTAGCTAGAAAGAACCTGACATTAATGGTAATTTCTCAAGAAAAACATATCATGAAAATTGTGCAGGGAAGGTTAGAAAAGATGTTCAAAGGTAGCCAAGGAAAATGGCTAAAAAAGGTCTTTTGTTGAAGGTACTATGGGCACAGGACCTTCCCCAAGCCGGAGCCCTCCTAGTAGTAAGTCTCCAAGATCTCCAAGTGGTGACGACATTATCAAGGTTAGTGACATGGGAATCACACTCTGGTATCATGAATGGATGAAACCAGTTATGAGAACACTGGAAATTCATTTAAAAATTTGTAGAAATTTGTAGAAAACAAAATACAGTAGAACGTCGATATAACACGAGATACGTTCCTAGAGAGGTCGCTTTAAACCGAATTCGCACTAAATCGAAGTGTTGTTTCAATGGAATAATTTAGTTTGGTACTTGAGAGAAACACAAAATACTAAAAAGACTGACAGTCTCCCCAGATGCACCTCAGCCCATCTCCTAGAATATACAAACCATTGTTTTTTGTAGTATTGTTAAAAGAAACACTCATAAATTAACACAGCTAGAAGTATGGGACATGAAATGGTCTGTTTACTAGTGATCAGCTGATGGGGGGGGGGGGAGGAGGTGAGGTGATATGTTTGACAGTTGATGCCAAGGTCTAGTGCTTATTTATTTATCTGTCCTTAAGAGTGACTAAGTTTTTTTCATATAAAATGACACTGAACTGCAAGTTATATTCTCCTAACTTTAGTCTGCGATATTATATAAGATAGAAACTGTAAGCCTATAACCACCAAACCCTGGCTGGGAAGATGGGGGAGAGGGAGGGAGGAAGGGGAGGTGACAGTGACATGTTTGACAGTTGGCACCGAAGGTCTAGTGAAGTATTTATTTGTTTGTTTATGCTCTTTAGATTGAGTTTTTGTTCATAAAATGTCACAGAAGTGACCGGGGAGAATATAATTTATATTGCTGGAATTCTTATAAGGTAGTGATTAATTTGAATATAATCATGCTATTGGTTACACAAGACAAAAATTTAAGTAATCATTTATTGCATTATTTTGAGTACATGTACAGTACAGCTTTGCCCTTAGGACAGTGTAGCATGCCCAGTGAAACATTAGGTGCGAATTTTAAAATATGATGCGCCAGATTGATTCGCGCAAAATAGGAAAGATTCGCTTTAAATTAAAACATTGTCCTTAATTGTGGGTGTCGCTTTAAATCAATAATCTGAAATTGAATTGCTTTAAATCGACGTTCTACTGTACTGTACTGTTCAGGAAAATCTGGTTTTATAGGTTTATTGTAATGTAAGCTTATTTTCATTATTATTAGGATTAGTTTTTTACAACAGAGATTCATATTTTGAATATTTCCCGTGTTTGTGGCATTTAAATGCTTGTAGATGTACTGTATAAATTTAGTGAAGTCTAAAACATAACAGCTAGAAGGAGACCATTCTGTTTATGATTGGCATTTGTTAGGTGGCTTCATTATTTGGAAGTCCCCGCGGCTGGCTCGCTGGGTCCCCTACTGTGCCACGAGATAAGCAAAGAAGAACTATGGATTCACTTTTTGTCATGGCATACCACGGCAACCTCTTAGAGTACCATCTTGAGCCTCATCCTGCTGCTGGCATTCCCCAGGACAAGGTCACAGAAGACTCACCCATTGAATTAGAGGTACAGTACAGTACATATTTGCATTGATCATGGCAGTCTTACCTTGAAACCAAATGTTTGAGAAATTGAATATAAAGTGTCACATGTCTTTTTAAGATTAAATACTTATAAGAATAGAGTATTGATTTATATTGGAGTAGAGGTAATGGAATCATACAGCATATATAGATTGTGGTATGAAGAAGGTTACGGCAAAAATTTTAAGGGAGGAGAATTAATAATGTAGAAAATGTGCTGATTATTTTTTTGTTCATATTCTTAAGATAGAAGCTTAAATTAATCCTGAAAATGTTTTTAAGGTTAGAAAAAGTGAAAGTAGGTGGAAATGCCTTGTAAATGAAAAATAGAAGGAATGTGGAGGAGTATGTTTATAAGAGTACGTGTAATGAAAGAGGAAAGTACTGAGGTACAGTAATTGGAAATGGAAATATGTGTTGAGTACAGTATTGGATTTTTGAAAGATGGGTTATCCTCCTTACAGTGGGGTTGATATTAAAACTGGAACTGAAATTTATTAAAATGGTAAGCTGGTAAGCTCCTGGTTAAGTCATGTATGAACTTTTTATTCAAGAGGCTAAATTTCTCAAAGATGAAAAAATTCAAGAAATGTCAATGGTGTAACTTTTATATGGTAATAGTTAGAGATATAACGTTGCCTCACAGGTTCATGCAAGTGCTCAGTGGGCATTGGTTCGAGAATCAACAAGTGGGGAACTGAGGCCACCATTGGATATGACCTCCCCACTCCTAGCGCCCTTGTCACCCACTCGACCACGCTCACTCTCTCCTGCTCACTCATTTGACCATGATGATCCAGAGGAACGATGGATGGCCCAGGTAAGATGGGTTTATCTTCACTGTTTTACTTTTTATGATAGTGATATCTTCGTTAGCCGGAACAATTGATGCAGAGCACTTCCGGGAATGAGAGATTTCTGGGTAACGAGACGACTCTCTCAAAGCCGGAAATAATATCTCATCCCTGGAATTTTCCAGGTACTGGAAAAATTTTCTCGGAATTTACAGAAAATGCGCAGATTTTCATCTCTTAAACCCAGAAAAACTTCCCTATCCCTGGAAATATCCATAATTTTCCAGGTATAGGAAAAATTTTCTCAGAATTTTCTGGAAAAATGTGTCCCTCTGAAAAATTTTCCCAAAGCTGGAATTTTTAGGAAAATTCCGGCTTTTGGAATGATTTTCCGAGAAAATTTCAATTCCGGCTATCGGAGAGTTCCGGGTTTGATGGATTCCGGCTGATGGTGATACAGTAAACCCTCAAAGATCCGGACCCGGGAAATCCGGATTTTGGAAATCCTGAAATTTTTTTGGGGGGTTCTGGGCTAAGAAGCCTCCTAGAAGTTTCCCTAAGAAACATTCTCAAACCAGAGCAAAGAACATTTTAGGCTCATGGGCGCTGCTTGACCCGTCAGTTGCTTGGACACAGGTGCCTGGAGAGGTGGGAAACATAAACAGAGTTGACAATTGTTATTTGTGGGAATATTATTTCATTCACTCTAGTAATGATACATTGTTTCTTATTATGTTATCATAGGTAAATGCTTGGTTTAATATGGTAATTTGTTTATCACTACATAAGTACTGTATTTTAGGTGTTTCTTATATCATTTATTATTTGCCAAAAAATTCAGGCAATCGGCTTTTCCGGACAGGTGGTCCCCCTTTTTAGTCTGGATCTTCGAGGGTTCACTGTATTACTGTATTCACTTTTTTACATTTTAAGATACCCCCAGTAGATTCGCAACTTACTAGAGGGTTACGTTCCTGGGACCTCGCGTAAAGCCAAAAAAACGCGTAAAGTCAGAAACACTCCTAAAAATCCCCTAAATCGCCCTTAAATCACTATATATACAGTATAGTCTCGATTTACGTGGATTTTGTTTATGCGTTTGGTCATTTACGCGGCACCTGGCCAGACCGGCAATTATTAGTTACGCGGTTCATTCCATCATTTACGCTGGAAGTGACGCGGGCAGGGTGCGCACAAGGTCGCCCAGTCAACAAAACATTACCGAGTTCTTTACCCGCCACCCACCACAGTCGGCCCAAGTCAGTGATAGTGAGGATATGGACTTTGAGGGGTTTGACAAAGAGGCCCTGCAAGCCTCTGTGGTGGATAGTGATACAGGTGATACAAGTGAGGGCCAATAATCTGCCCTCTGCCTCAGAACCAACCCCCCATCCCCATGTACCCAGCCATCTCTTCTACTCACGTAAGTGTTAAAAAACCTAATATTATTGATATTTCTCTTAAATATTAATTGTGCGTGCATACCATCATAAAATTAAGATGTTATTTTTACTACAACGTACGTATTGTGTCGGAAAAAGTGTAGTTTGGGGGTCGGCCCAGTCTCTATTTCAATTAATCCCATATGTTCTGTTATTTCGTTTACGCGTTCTTCTTTTACGCGGACCTCCACGGGTTTAATTGACCACGTAAATGGAGACTATATTGCGTGCGTACGTATGTACATACTGTACATACACACACACACACATATATATACACACACACACATATATATATATATATATATATATATATATATATATATATATATATATATATATATATATATATATATATATATATATATATATATATATATATATATATATACACACACAGTTAAAGTTGTCACTTAAGGTCAATTGAACCCAGAGGTCCCGCTAAGTGAAACCGCGTTAAGTGAATAACAGAACATATGGGATTAATTCCAATAGAACCCAGCCCGACCCCCAAACTCCACTTTTTGACGACAAATAACTATGTTGTAGTAAAAATTCTATCTTAACTTTATGGTGGCATGAAAAACAAGTAATATAGAAGAGGTTAGGTTAGGAAAGATAAAGGTTAACATAGGAAAAATAAAGAATAGGTTAAAAAACGAAAAGTTTTAAGGAACACTCACGGTAGTAGAAGAGATGGGTCGGCATACGGGGATGGAGGCTGGTTCCGAGGCAGAGGGCAGATTACTGCCCCTCAGGTGAATCACCATTACTAGGTGAATCACCATTACTAGGTGAATCAATATCACTGTCACTTACAGTTGTCATGGCTTCCCTGACAAATCCCTCAAAATCACCTTCACTATCACTATCACTGCCTTGGGCTGGCTGTGGTGGGTTGCGGGCGAAGAACTCGGTTATGCTTTGCTGACGGCTGGCTTTGATGTTTTCATGATACACCGTGATGTACGGCTCCATAGCCTGCACCAGTCGGTTATGGAAGACGTCATGGCGTTCATCGTCAGTGTCGCGGGAAACGATGGACTTAATTTTTTCTGTTAACTCTATGACACACTTAATATCACTATGACTTAAACTAGGTTCTTCGGAGAATGACGCACCTTCTTCCTCCTCTTCACTGGCGGGTTCTTCTTCCAACATCTCGTCGGCAGTCACTTCAGGATCTCTGATCACCTCCATGATGTCTTCGTTGGTGGTCTCGGAGAAGCCTTCAGCTGTAACAGTCTGCGCAGCTTCTCTGGCAAGGTCCACTGCTACTGCAACAGTCTGAACCTGACCAGTCACAGGTTCACTCCTCCTCTCACCTGGTATGCCATGCAACACATGTCTCCATGCGTGACGAATCGTAGCAATAGACAGCAGATCCCATGCCTCCACCAAGAAGTCTACAGCTTGTTTGACGTTAAACTTCTTCCAAAATTGTTTGACGAGAAGTTCTTGAGTCGCCGCCTCTTGTTCCTTGTCCTCGTCGCTTTTACTCTCGCTGTCGGTGTCACCCAGCTTACGCAACTCATCCTTGGTGTTGGTAGAGTCGTTCAGGAGCTTGAATTTCTTTGCCGAGTATGCAGCTTTAACGTTGCAGATTAACTCCTGGTCCATAGGCTGGATTAATGACGTGGTGTTGGGAGGAAGGAAGACCACTTTTACGTTGGGGTGACGATCCATTAGTAGGGGCGAGTGTCCAGGTGCGTTGTCAAGGAGCAACAAAATGTTGAATGGAACATTCTGTTGCTCGCAGAATTTCTGCACGTCAGGAACAAAAAAGTTGTCAAACCAGAAGAGGGACAGAGAAGAGGACATCCACGCCTTACGTGCGGTTAGCCAGTGGACATTAAGCTTGTTCATGTCCATATTCTTGTAGGCGTGCGGCTTGCGGGCTTTGTGAATCACCGATAACTTTGGTTTACAGGTACCGGAGGCATTGGTGGTAAACAGGACGGTGATGCGTTCCTTCTGCATCTTCCGGCCCCTTACCTTGCTCGCAGACTGGACAACGAAGGTCTTGGAAGGTAACTTTTTCCAGAAAAGACCAGATTCGTCCATGTTAAACACCTGGTCGTCACTGTACTGTCCTTCCTCCATAATCTCACGTAAAAACGGAGGAAAATCTCTAGCCGCCGCACGGTCAGCACTCGCTTCCTCACCAACAATGCTGATGTTGGTGACCTTGTTCCTCCTCTTAAACCTATGCAGCCAACCATGGGAAGCATTGAAGGGTTTGGGCTCTGCAATTCCCAGTTTACGTGTCACTGCTGCGTATAGCTCACGTGCGTACTCCTGCACTGAGCGCGTGTCCACCGCCATGTTGCGTCGCGCCTGACGCACCAAATAACTCACCAGCAAAGTTTCCACTTTTGCCAGCACCCTGTTCTGGCAATACCTGATAGCTGAAGCACCTGCAGACTTTGTGAGCTTCATGTGCTCCTTTATCTTGGCTGCATCCTTCTTGATCGTACGAATCGTAGATTCGTTGACGCCATGCTGGCGCGCGAGATCAACTTGGCGTCTTCCTTTCTCCAAATCTTGAACAATTTGGTACTTCAGCTCGTAGCTTAATGAACGTCGTGTCTTCTTTGGTTTAGTGCCGCTGGGTCCAGGTAAGGAAAGGTTTCTCTCTGGGGGTGGTGGTCCGGCGGAAGCCATTTTACGGAACAATGGATGCGCGTTAACCCGGCGTGGCCTTGAGGGATGAAACTGCCGCGGCTAGGTCAAGCGTCGTCTCTCCTCCCTCCCTCCCTCCCCGGGGTAGTCACGTCATAATACTTTAAGCCAATTACAGCTAGCAGCAGAGGGGGGTAGGGCTGCATGGCCAATCACAGTCCGAGACGTCATATGACGTCAGTGATAACGCAACAAAGACACACACTGCGCAACCTTACCGCGCCGCTTGCCCAAGCGGAGGGAGGAGGAGGGAGAGGCAGGCAGGCAGGCAGGAGGGCGGGCGGGCGGGTGGCGCGTGGTCAAAATCTAAAAATAGCATCCGAGCCGGACACTCACCGCGTTGCTGTGGAAAAATCCGCGTTAAGTGAAAGTTCAGCTTTGGCAAGGCACCGCGTATATGCGAAAACGCGTTGGCGGGGTAATACTGTATATATATATATATATATATATATATATATATATATATATATATATATATATATATATATATATATATATATATATATATATATATATATATATATATTTATATATATATATATATATATATACTGGAACTCATAAATCACTACTGTGATGTAATACAGGTGATTAATTTTTATCTCTTGTGCAAAATATATGATGTCTACATTCAAATTATTCGCTGTCTTGCAAGGATTCTAGCAATGCAAATTATATTCTCCTAACTTTAGTCTGTGATATTATTTAAGATAAAAAATTTAAGCCTAAAACTACCAAACCCTGGCTGGGAAGATGGGGGAGAGGGAGGGAGGGAAGGGGAGGGGGAGGTGAGGTGATGTGTTGTGGCAGTTGGTGCCGAAGGTCTTGTGCGTATTTATTTATCTGTCCTTTAGAGTGACTAAGTTTTTCTCCTATAAAATGTCACTGAACTGACCGGGGAGAATATAATTTATATTGCTGGGATTCTTAAACTGTAGTGATTAATTTGAATATAAACATGCTATAGTTTGCATTAGACATCAAAAATTTAGTAATTATTTAGTACATTATTTTGAGTACATGTACAGTACAGCTTTTCCCTTAGGACAGTGTGTGCATGTAAATGAATAAAAATAAATGAAGAATGTTACGTATATCGAGCCAAAAAATTAGTTAAAAAACTTTATGTAGATAGACCTATGTTGTTGTTTTGAAATTATTCATCCCTTTCCAACTTCACCGTGTGGGGATCATCAAGGTCAGGCAACGATGCAGGGGAGGATGTGGGCAGCTCAAGGTCACTGTGAGGAGTTGAGGGCGTTGGCTGATCTGCTGACGATGTTGATGCTGAGGTTTTCTTAAAGAACATGGTGATGGGAAGTTGTTGTTATTTCTTAAGCTGCTGGAACATATTCTTATACTGAGCCATAATGCTTGTAAGACCTCGTGAGGGGTTATACTCAGACACTTAAGTATTTCAAGTGCTCGGCCACCTGAAACACTTCACTAAACTTGTTTATATCCCAACGTGCTGGCTCATCTTGTTCTTCATCATCATCGTCGCCACTGCCGTCTTCTTCGTCCGCTCTCACTATTTCCTCCAACTCAGCATCAGTCAGAGTTTCCCGGTGCCCTTCAATTAACTCCTCGACCATGTCTTCAAACCCATCACCGCCCACAGCCCTGGCCACCTTCATGATGTGCTTAACTTCAGAGTAGATCGTAGGGAATCCTTTGAAGTCATGCACACAGTCACTCCACAGTGCCCACCAACACGAATTAACCGACTCTGGTTTCAGTGCACCCACGGCCTCCTTCACAAGAGTGATGCGATTGGCAATGCTGAATTCCTTCCAGCTTGCCATAATACTATTATTAGTGTCGTCTTCCATGACGTTGTGAATGTGGACGAAGGTGAGGCATGTGTACGCTGCCTTAAAGCACTGAATCACACCTGGTCGAGAGGCTGGAGGATGGAGACGGTGTTGGGTGGAAGGAACAGTACCTCGACGTCATCGTGTGTGAATTTAATGGCATCCGGGTTACATGGTGCGTTGTCAACGACCAGCAACACCTTGAAAGGTAGGCCCAGCTTCTCTAGGTAGCTCTTTACCTCAGGAATAAAACATTTGTGGAACCACTCAAGGAAAAACATTGCTGTCACCCAGGCTTTCTTGTTTGACTGCCAGTAGACAGGGAGGAGATTCTTATTTTTTCCCTTCAGAGCACGAGGATTGGCAGACCGATAAATCATGCCTGGCTTTGTCATATGCCCTGCTGCGTTACCACATAGTAGGAGGGTGACGCAGTCCTTCGCAGTTTTGAACCCGGGGGCCTGCTTCTCAGACATGGAAATGTAGGTTCTGGTTGGCATTTTCTTCCAAAACAAACCTGTTTTGTCAGCGTTGAAGACCTGCCCTGGAAGATATCCATTTTCCTCAATCAATTTCCTGAATTCGTCTGGGAACACCCGAGCAGCTGCCTCGTCCGCCAATGCTGATTCGTCAGTGATTCTAATATTTTTCAGGTTGAAACGCTTTCTGAAACTGTTGAGCCATCCTGCACTGGCTTTAAAATTCTTCTCAGAGCTGGTGGATGCTTTGCCCTGAGGAACCTCAGATTTAAACTGGTCATAAAGACTCAGTGTCTTCTCCCTGAGCACTTTGCCGTCGATGGGGACACGTTTCTGGTTCATATCCTCTACCCAGATGTTTAATGCCTTCTCCACCTTCACTAGAGTTACATCTCTAACCTGGCTAGTCACCTTATGAGTAAATGAGGCACTTTAAGACACGGTTTCACAAATTTTCTTCTCCCGAATCTTAATAGATCTTACGCTTGATTCGTTGCGTCAGTACCTCCGTGCCACAGCAGCGACTGACATCCCACCTTTTCTTGAGTCTAAAACGGCCACTTTTTCTTCCAAGGTCATCACAGAGCTTTGTTTCTTTGCTGGAGGACCAGAGGCAGAGGTTGGCTTGTGTTTGGGCATTATGATCGAGTTTGAGAGGTTTGAGAGGTTTAAGCGCACTAAATTGACACACACGAGAGGCAGGTGTTACTCCGACAATACCCACGCGGCAACTGAAGACAGAGAGGTGGGATGGCGGGGCTGGAGCTTTGGCAGGCTAGCGTTTGGCGTACTTATGACCCATTTTGAAAATTTTGAGTTTGAAATTGGAAATTGTAACATAACCCCTGGGGTAATCCGCTTATAGTTGAAACCGCGTAAGAAAAATATGCGTAAGTTGCGAGTCTACTGGGGGTATTCACTGTTTTACCTTTTATGATATTCCTTAGATTGATTATGTTTGAAGTGTTATCAGGGAGGCCAAGTTCTAACTCATGACATGAACTACAGGCAGCATGCTGCCTCAGAGAAATAAAAAGCTTTGTTTACTATTTTCTCAGCTTTGTTTTTTATCTGAATAAATCTCGCTGCATTTTTCACAGGAGCAATAGAAACTTAAGGTTTTTTGTGCAGTTTTCAGTACTGAATTGATGTACTGTAGTAAGAAGGGATATTTAAGTTTGTTTAAGAATTTTTTTTCTATATTAATGATATATTACTGATTAAATTTACTTATCATTGATGACAATAGAAAATGTGTTTTTGTTCAATCCAGAATGATAGAAAATTTATATTTTTACCTTGTCAGTATCGGATGATGAAAAGTCATTGTTCCCAGGTGGAGATTCACACACATGCAGGGCCTCATCGACGACTGTGGATGGGTCCACAGTTCACCTTCAAATCAATTCCTGGTGTGGGAGTTGGTTATGGTGGTGGGGGTAGCCAGGGAGGTTATGAGGGAACACCAATCTCTGGTTCCTCAATGGATCGTCCTCCCAGGTCTTCACCAGTCAACATGCCAGGCACAGGTGGTGCCAATGTCCCAGTCCTGATTGAAGCTGGTTCACTTAGTAAGTAGGGTATCTGTATTTGTATTCTTATTTCCAATTTTAATATTTTTTATGATATTTTAGAGCTGGCTATGATTATGTAAATGTATGGGTAAATCATATGTTACAGATGCTCTTCGTACTATTCATTTGTTATTCTCGGGAACTGAGTGGTAAAAATACTGAGAGAGTGAGAGCGGGTTGTCGGCCACCTGAAAACCTTTGGAACTAGCAAAAGTACCCAATGAGGTCATGAACCCAACGTTTACATTCCTAACCATCCAAATGTACACATCTTTTAACTTGCACATACATTACCTGTACATATACATTATGTACAGGATATTAGAGAAATAGTTCACAAAATAGTTAATCAAAATTTCTAGTTACTGTAAAATCGAGAGAAAATTGAGACCCTGCAATTGTGTATAAATGAGGCAAAAAGTCAGATCAGCAACCTGGGACTTGGTCACAATTGCCTAACCATTAGATGTACCATAGCATGACAACATACATTACCTGTACATATACATTATGTACAGGATATTAGAGAAATAGTTCACAAAATAGTTAATCAAAATTTCTAGTTACTGTAAAATCGAGAGAAAATTGAGACCCTGCAATTGTGTATAAATGAGGCAAAAAGTCAGATCAGCAACCTGGGACTTGGTCACAATTTTTGTGATGCCATATAGCAGCAGGGTCTACCATTAGACAACACATTATGCTTCCAATATCTTCCAAGGCAGTAGGACCTCCCTGTTTGGTAGCTTCCTACTACCTATTACCTCTCTCATGACAACATAAGAGAGGGGGGGGGGGGGAGTGGCTTGCTCACCACCAGTAACACTAAACGAGGCTCTTACTTGATTACTTCCACCGCTTGCCATTACCATTCTTGAAAAAAAAAATGAATTGAAAAAAATAAGAGTGAATTGTTAGTTGATCACTTTCCTCTCAGCACTACTGTCCTTGAAGAAAAAGATCACTATTAACCGATAAAAAAACATAAGAATGGTTTGTGGGATAGAATGTGGTAGTAGCAATGATGTTTGCCCACTGTTCCACGCCCAGCCCAGGGTGGACACTAAAGAATGTTGATTGGCAAGTCGCTGGCAAATTATCAATTTGCGCGGCTGGCTCCATGTCAGAAACTGCAAGGGAGGTTGGGGTCACTGCGACACTAGTTAACACCCTCTGGGAAGAGTCTGGGAACTTGAGAACCAGCCACATTGACTATTTTTTATGGGCTGTTATTATTTGACATATTAACATGACTAATTTCTGGTGTGTAATGTAAACAAAACATATTTTGACTCTTAATTCATATAAATTATATAATTTTAGGCTGGGGAGACTATGGTGAGGAGGACACTGGATGGGCTATTGAGATTCTGTATGGCCTGTGTTGGTAAAAATTAAGAATAAATGTGATTTCCACCCTTCTATTAAATAGTTATCCTCATATCTATGTTATTATAAGTATTTAATTACCATTGTTTAAAACCTGAGCAACAACATGAAAAAAATGGGAATAAGGAAATGGATGGCACATTATAATAATGATAAAATAAGGGTCCTCATCTATTACTCTTTCAAGCATGAGAATAAAAAACCTGCATCTATTCTTCCCTTCCTTCTTTCTGAAATTTTCCTGCTTTCTACAATCCCTTTCCTCTCCGACGACGAACTTGCATCGCGTACCACCCTCCTTCCCCTCCACCTCCAAAGCAAACAGCGCTCCCCCCCCCCCCAAGTTGACAGTGTCCCCTGTCCACCCCATGGTGGAGTGGATAATTACTTTTGACCGTGACTATACATGGATACAAAATGCAGTTTCTATAGTCTCACCCAAAATCTGAATATTAAAGAGATCAGAAGTAATGTGATAGAATAACAAGTAGAGAAATGAGATAATAGTTAATATGGCAGTAGTGTGGAGGCTGAGCATATGGCAGATTACCAGCTGTCCCAGTGTAGTGAAGTTTGTAGCTTGTGTGCTTATTACCTCTGATGACTTTTATTCTATGTTTTTAATTGTTCCTGTACAAGCAGATGGGAAAACAGAGATTTTTAATATTTGAGTAAGAATATTAAATTTTGATTTTTTCTATAATTTTTTGTAGCTGGCAGCCATGATCAATCACCAAGACTGATGGAGAGATACAGTGGTGATTCTGACAGCTTTGATCCTGAGACTATGATGACACAACTGAGACATGACCTTGCAGATGCCATGCTGGATACCCAACATGCTGGTCACCGCGGTGATACTGGTAAGTGTTACTTTATTGTTATGTGATGAGTGTATATTGTGTAAAAAAACATACAGTACAGCAATGCTGCATAGTGTTTGGTTGAATGATGAATGAAGGCATTGTAAAATTGTGTGTAGAGGAGCCTGATGTATGATGTGCCCAGAACCATATTATTTTGGTTGAGTGTACAGATAAGTATTTCAGGTAATATTGAGGGTAATTTCTCATTTTTTGAGATGTTATGCTTCTGCAAGAACACAAGATTTAAATGTGCATATTGTCTTCCTTGTGATAATTTGGACATGACCAATACCTGTTTTTTATACGATCATGAAGGGTAAAGCTTCACACTTATCACTGTTGTGTATAGTAAGAGACTAACACACCGCTTAAGATAATTCTGGTGTGAACAAAATGTGTCAGAATACATCTCTTACAACTCCTCACTCTAGGACTGCTGGGAATTTAGGTTTACTTTAGTCAAGAAAGGGAAATAATATCTAGGACCCTTGGGATATATACTTTGATCAGCCTTACAGTACAGGTACTGTATAAAGATAAGTTGCTATATACTGGAAAAGGATATTTACTATCAGGTGCTATTTATTATGATGAGTGGGCCACTCACAAATGAGATACATACCCGGGTAATGTTTCATTTGCGTTTGTATCTGTATTGTCTCACTCTTGAGGGGGCAGCTGTAATAGAAGTCTTTTTAGCATATAAGAAATCCAAAACCCACATAACATCTTCAGGAAGATTTTATTCATTACTCAAGCTTGTTTTTCCCCTGAGAGTATATCCTTCAGCCTTATCCAATATCTTATGAATGTTCGCAGTCTTAGAAGTACAAAGACTTCCTCACACGCAATATGTTTTATATATCTGTGGTACTTTAGACCAAACAATTGTGGAGAGGAAGATGTGTCTCCAGAAATATCAGCATCACCTGTATGGCCAGTAGAATTTTTTTTTCTTGTGAACTGTACCTTACTAAAGATAAATGCAATCACCAATGAATATTCAGTAGTGACATTGACTATACTTTCATATGTGGTGAAAATTTCATTCAAAGTCAAAGTCATATTGTACTTATCCCTTTCTCTATAGAAGATATATGTTTTCAATAACCATATATCTGGCACATACTTTTCCTCAGGAACAAATCATAATGAAATGTTTTAACATTGGATTGTGGTATTATTGAAGATTTTACCTCATCCACAATGTTGTCTGGTGTGAAGAATGCATGTGGATGTTAAGGTAGGTAGATAGAAACATTGGTCTTATTTAAATGACCAATGAATTGTGTATTGAATCTTTTAATTTTTTGCTTCAGAGATTATACTACAGATGTATTCTGCTTTCTAGTGCACATATTTATTTTTGATGTACAGTAAAGTACAAGGAAAAATTATTTGAAAGGAAATAAACTTTCTATTCACATTTTCTGTTATTGTTACAGTATTTACAGATGAAAATAATTGTTCATTTATTGTTGTGCATCTAGAGATGTGTATGGGCTTCATGAACAAGGGTGCATGCACTTTGGGTAACATATATGTGGTCAGATTTGTGGGTTCATGAAAAAAAAACCCAAGAAAAACAATAATTTTGTTCTCCCTAGGAGGCAAGAACATCCCTCCATTATACCGCCGACTTTGCTCACTCCAGAGCCTTGGTCCACAACTGTTAGGCACCATCGTGCTTGGTATGTGTCTTGTGTGTGATGTAAGCTGGATATTTGTTTTGCATGAGGCAATATACTATATAGGCATCCCCTGTGTTACGAACTTTCAGGTTACAAAAATTCGTAAATTATGACCACTAAATTTGAGATACGAAATGAAAATCTTACAGAAATAAATTTTTTCCCCAACACAAAATTGAGTAAAAAGAAAAAGAAATAATCAAAATTAAAAAAAGGCATGGATTTCACAATGCTTTTGTTTACCAGCAAGCGTGCCAGTCTTGTTTATTTATATACAGTATGTGAGAGTGTGTAATGTGCGCTCATTACACTCAGTTCCTCAACCTCCTTATTGTTGATATAATCTTGTTTATATTGCTTTACCAGTTTGTGCCAAGTTAAACATGACATATTATTTGTGTTGGCAATACTGCATGTAGAGCATCACATGTGTTAACAGGGATTCTATCCCTCTTGAATTACTGTATTTACTGCCATGCATTTATGGTGTGTTAAATTCCAGTATTTTGTGTATACAGCTGCTCCTCGACTTACGACGGGGTTAGGTACCCTAATCCAGGTCGTAAGTCGAATTGGTCTTAAGTCGAAAATGCTTAAATAATGCATAGAAAATCTAAAATGGGTGTCTCTTTTTCTTATCAGCACCACAAAACTCTCATTTTTAAGCTTGCCAGCCATTTTAAAGTGAATTACAAACGAAAATTTTGTCAGTTCACAGCGCAATCACTAACGCCGGGACTCGAAAATACGTAATTTGACAAAATTTTGGTACAACCGAGGCGGTTGTATGTCCGGGTGGTCGTAAGTCGAGTAGGTCGTAAGTCAAGGAGTAGCTGTACTGTAGGTAGGTCTTGCTTAACACAAGAGTTACATTCTTAAAATTTCTCATGTTGTGCAAATTCATACTAAATGAATTCAAGAAAACCATTGATAACCTTATAAATTGTGAGAGATGTGTATTGGAGGGGAAAAGCTTGGTATAGGACCACAGTCCCAAAACATACACAGTATAGTCTCGATTTACGCGGATTTCGTTTACGCGTTTGGTCATTTACGCGGCACCTTGCCAGACCGACAATTTTATTTAAGCGATATTTTCCATCATTTACGTGGGAAGCGGCGCAGGCAGGGTGCGCACAAGGTCGCCCAGTCAACAAAACATTACCGAGTTCTTCACTCGCCACCCACCACAGCCAGCCCAAGTCAGTGTTAGTGATAGTGAGGATATGGACTTTGAGGGGTTTGACAAAGAGGCCCTGCAAGCCTCTGTGGTGGATAGTGATACAGGTGATACAAGTGAGGGCCAATAATCTGCCCTCTGCCTCAGAACCAACCCCCCATCCCCATGTACCCAGCCATCTCTTCTACTAACGTTAGTGTTAAAAAACCTAATATTATTGATATTTCTCTTAAATATTAATTGTGCGTGCATACCATCATAAAAGATGTTATTTTTACTACAACGTACGTATTGTGTCAGAAAAAGTGTAGGTTGGGAGTCGGCCCGGTCTCTATTTCAATTAATCCCATATGTTCTGTTGTTTCGTTTATGCTTTCCTCCTTTTACGCGGACCTCCACGGGTTTAATTGACCGTGTAAATCGAGACTATACTGTACCCAAAAAATTCCTTCAACACTACTGTAATTCCATTATTTCAAAATACTCATGAGTGAATTATAACTCACCTTGAGTTTGACCAGATGCTTCTGGGTCTGCCTTTGTTCAGGCTCAGGGTAACTAATGGAGCAATAGTATTCCGAGTGCTGTGAATTATATGTGATCTACTACGTAGATGCTGTTATCCAGTCTAGGCTTTCATCAGCCGGTTGATTTTCTTCATTTATTATTGAACATTTTAAAGACATACAGGTAATTAAGAAATATATTTAAAATATTTAATGGTTATCTGAGAAATGAAACTAAAGATATAATTAATTTTTTTTTACACTAAAGGTGAATAGGATATGGTAAGAAATTATAACTAAAGTGAACAACTGCATCCAGGACTGCGGTTGTTCAGACTCGAGGTTACTACTGTAATACATCATTAGAACTTACGGTGTCATGAATGGTGCGTGTAGATGCTGCTGGCCTGTGTTAACAGACATTGCACCTGCCAGTGATGCCATCTGTTAATAGATTGTCTTCACTTGATGTTTATATATTAAACTTTTAGAAACATATTTAAGGATATATAATTACCAGTAAATTATTTAATGAAGTATTAAAGGAATATTTGATGGCCTTCTTACACTAGAGGTCACAGCCTCAAGTTAAAGAAACCAGAAAATTGTGACAGTTGTGAACTGTTGGACAATAATAACCTACCAGAGGTTGTTACAGTAAAGACAATAGTACATTCTCCCTTTTCAAAATGTTCAATCACTTTTATTTTCATGTCTAACAAAATAGATTTTCTTTGTCTCCTGCTGTCAGTATCACTCTTGTTACTTTCTGGTTACTTCACATTCATGGTGGTGAAGGTTAATAAGGAGAAATGAAGAAATAACAGAGATTAGCCAATCTCTATGACATGTGTATGACCCAGAGGACAGTTAGAGGCAGACAAAGGTGGCGAGCCAATGGAGGCGGGCTGGCATGTGCAGTACAGTATTATTATATTATATCATACAATACTGTACTCAAGTGTCCACTTAATATTGTTTAAAAAGGTTTATTTTTATTTGTAACTGTTTTTCATTGTCTTTTGATCGAAAATTTTCCATAGGCAAACATCTCCGATTATATAATGTGTTTTAGTGGGAAAATTTGTTTTGCGTTACAGAATTTCTTGTTATGAAAAATTTCTCAAGAACTCATCCTATCCATAAAGCAGGGGATGCCTGTACTGTAATAATTTTGTCTGATTTGTGTATCTTGAATATATGATGTTTGAATATAATGGAGTGTGTGGTGACCGTGGTTTTGCATGATGATATTTACTCTTAACACTTTGTATAGTTTGCGTATCTTGCGTTTGATCTGCAAATTGTGTACAGTACTGAAAAATAGGTTGTGTGAAGATAACATTGACATGCATGTGATGACATATCCCTTACACCCTGCAGTAGACTAACATTCATACACAATATGTAACTTGAATGTATTAATACCCTTACCATGTATGGTAGTTATATTATTATACTGTGCAAACTTAAAGTTTTCTTGCATAACCTGATTGTAAAACAGGTGTGGCTTCTGTGTGACATGTCTTTTTCAGTTACTACTAGTATATGCTACAAACTGCAGACCACACTTTATTGTGGTTAAAATATCCCCCTTCTTTTCTATATTATTTTGTTTCTCCAGTAATGTTGGTTTCTGTTGGAAATATCTTTGCATAATTTCTGTGAATTTAATTGATCATATACAGCAGAGACCAATTTTGATTTTGTGAGAAATGGTGTCGGTTGTGTGAGTACAGTACAGTACAGTACTGTACATTTGAATGTTTGTTTTTGAGAGAGAGAGAGATAGGGGGGGGGGGGAGATACTTGTGTTAAAATCCAGGTCAAGATTATGGTAATTATACTGGTGATGTCATTTACCTGTTTATGTGTCCTTTCATCTGTCTCTTACTTTTAATAAGTTTCCCCTTTGATAACTTTTTTCTGTTTTCTTTGAATATAATGTACAGTACAGTACAGTACAGTTCAGTATTTTCAATTTAAAGTAGACTTTGGATGAGGCTGCTAGTGCCGGGTTGTACGCCTTCACATTAGCATTAGTTTACATTTTTGGGGTTTTGTTTATCAACATCAAATACAGTACACTGTATTTATGAAAAAAAATTTCATAGCTTAAAGCAAAGTTGAAAAAGTTACCAGACATGAGGGCTTCTTGGCCTGAAAGTTAGTGAACTTTAAGACTACTGGTAGAGCATTAACCCTTGTCTGTTGAGGTAAAGGTAATTTAAGTCCTGGGTTTTTTTTTATAGTATACTGTACATTACTACATTAAACAGATTATAGATAATAGCTTAAGTTTCTTTGAGTAATGTGTTTCAGTATTTTTTTGAGACTGGAAATGGAAAATTCCCTCTTGCTAAAATGGTTTTCTATATCACTGTCCTTAACACCATGACATTGTGTGAAGAATTGTGTGAAGAATTACTGGAGTGCTACAAATATTTAATACAGTCTAGATATTTTGAGGAATAAGCATTAAAAAATATCAAGGTTATATGAAATTGTAATAAAGTTATATCTTTGAAGGAGAAATATATATACAGTATATGTGATATCTCTACTCGCCAGAACAATTGGTGCAGAGCACTTCCGGGAATGATATATATCCCCGGAATTTTACGGGCAACAGAGAAATGTTCTCGGAATTTCCAGAAATTGCGCATTACATCATCTCTCAAAGCCGAAAAAATATGCCTCATCCCTGGAATTTTCCGAGTAACGGAAAATGTTCTCGGAAGTTCCTGAAATTGGCCATTACTGTACATCATCTCCCAAATCCTGAAAAATACGCCCCCACCCTCCCTGGTATTTTCTGGCTACCAGAAAATTTTTCTTGTAATTTCCAGAAAATGCACCTGATTTTCATCTCTCAAATCAGGAAAAATCTCCCCCCACCCCTTGGAATTTTCTGGGTATCGGGAAAATTTTCTCAGAATTTTCTGGAAAATGTGTCCCTCGGAAAATCGCTACGAAAGCCTTAATTTTCCGGAAAATTCTAGCTTTGGGAACGATTTTCCGAGAAAATTTTAATTCCGGCTATCGGAGAGTTCCGGGTTTGAGGGATTCCCGATAGCCAGAAAATTCTGGAAGATTCCAGGGACGGGGAAGTTTCTTCCAGGTTTGAGAGATGAAAATCAGGCTCATTTCCCAGAAATTGCAAGAAAAATTTTCCGATATCCGGAAAATTCCGGGGATGGAGGATATTTTTCCGGCTTTGAGAGATGATGTAATGCACAGTTTCTGGAACTTCCAAGAAATTTTTTTATTCACTGTAAAATTCCAGGTATTGTTGACTGCATATTGACAATTTACATTTGTTTATATATACACCTGTACAGTATGTTTACTGTTGCTAAGGACACTATTTTTTTGTATATTCCTCATCTTATCCATTAACATTAATATCTTGTAATTACAGTAATCTTTCTTCTTAATTTGGAATATAATGAACAATGTGAGAAATTAATGTACTGGAGGAGTGTTTGAAACAGTATGAATCTTGATAATAGTTTCAGGCTGGAAATATTGATCAATTTGTGTCAAGTGAAATGGATTACTGTATCATCATTTTATTTTGCTTCCTATGCCATGTTTTCTCTCACAGTAAATTAGTATAGGTATAGACATTTGAACCACAAACCATCTCTTCATTGATGTTGGCAATTAAAAATGTTCACGTGAAAAATGTACAAGTACAGAGTGAATCCTATCAGCAACAGAGCACGTAATTCACTCCTCCCAAACAATCTAGAAATAAGTTGATGAAATTTGCAACATGAAGAGGAAAGACATTGTACTGCAGGGCTTGATATAAGGCATCAAAATTAGCAGGTGGGATATCTTTGTGTGATGAGGGTATTGGTATTCTAATTATTGATGCTTACTGCAAGGTGGTGCATCAGAGCACATGGGGTCCCCGACTTACGAACACCCGCCGATACGAACGGTGTTAAACATGAAATTTAGAGTACGGTATTTTATTTACCTGATGACTTATTTTTTACTTTTATTCACTGTATTTTGTCATTCTATTTCTTCTTTTGTCTTAGATTAAGTGATTTATATATAATATATATATATATATATATATATATATATATATATATATATATATATATATATATATATATATATATATATATATATATATATATATATATATATATATATATATATATATATATATATATATATATATATATATATATATATATATATATATATATATATATATATATATATATATATATATATATATATATATATATATTGTATATATATATATATATATATATATATATATATATATATATATATATATATATATATATATATATATATATATATATATATATATATATATATATAGTATATATATATATATATATATATATACTGTATATATATATATATATATATATATATATATATATATATATATATATATATATATATATATATATATATATATATATATATATATATATATATATATATATAAGGACTTAGGCTATGATATAGTGGGATTTTGTACATTGTTCTGTAAGTATGGTATGCACATAACATGTGCTCCGACTTATGTATCCGAACGTCCTCAGGAACAGAACCTCTTTGTAACCCGGGGACCCTCTGTACTGTATTAATGAGAGGGATACAGTGTTTTCATTGATCCCAAGTATCATTGATTTTGAGTGTTTTCTGTTTAGTTAATACAGTATATATGAATACATTTTAATGTAAATTACTGATTTGTAAATATTTTGCAGTTTATTCATATGATCACAGAAAAGATGTTTTTTATTTTTTTATACATTTTCTTGTTATTAAGACATTCTAAGTTATTTATTAATATCACTTTTGTAATTATAAAATTAAGAATTATTAATTTAACAGTAAGGATCTTCTTTCTGTATACACAAATGTGAACTAATAGTGTGTGTTGTTCTCTGATAATGTAGAGTTATCTAAGGTTCTGTAGTGTATTAATCTGTGGAAATTAAAATGTTCATGTAACACTAATACACTTAAGGAATTCTAGAATGATAACATTATCTACATAACCTTAGATAGGTATATCGACTAATACACTTACTACAAGATCTTTTTTTTGGGGGGGGAAACATATGATAGCCGTTGTAGAAAGTGAAACTAACAGAGGAAAATATTATGAATTAAATTTCGAGTTTCTTAAAGAGTTTCAGAATTCTGTTTCAGGTTGGAATTGATAAATAGTTGTACAGTAGATAGGAGACCAGAACCTTTTTGAAAGGGAGAAGAAGGCAATTGTTATGAAAAAAAAAAATTGTGTAAACTAACCAAGTCAAGGTTTAATGAGGTCTCTGAAGGAACATATAAGTGGTCAGTAATCTGTGTTTGCTCTGGACAACCTCTAAATTTGCAAGAAATACTAATACTTGAATTCAACACGAACTTTGTAGACTTAAGTTTTGTTGCGCATGCAAAGGTGGCGTGGACTTAATATAAGTTCTTCTTTTAAGGACTGTGTAGATCTAAGTTCTCTCTCAAGAGAGTGGCAAAGAATGGTGGTGAGCGGTCTTATTTCGTCCGCAGGTGAGGATGGTGCCATGACATCGCACGGAGAAACCAGCCATGACTCAGCTTTAGACATGACTGATGTGATGGACATCAGCTGTGATCCCCCAGGGCCATCCTCAGGACGAGCTCTGTCATCTACAGCCTCTCCCTCTGTTTCGCGAATCTCATCACGGCCATCTTCGCATGTAGGTGAAGAGATCCAGGCTGTTACACCTCGCCTGCATCAGGTGGCTGTGACTCACCCAGATTTAGTAAGAGCTTCTCCTTATATTCAGAGAACCCCAAGCTTAGAAGACAACCGGGCACTGACTTCATCAGCTGAAGAGCTGTCCTCAACTCTGGGCTCTGGCTTTAGAGTGGCAGAGCTGGCTGACTCGGTATGGGTCCCAATTGACCGACCCGAGATAAAATCTAGCAGCCACAGTCCTGAATTTGTCCAGATTGATAAGCCTGAAGTTGTGTCTGTCAAAGCAGAGAGGGAGTCCTCAATGTCACCAAGAGAAACAAGATTTACAGGTTCTAAAGTTTCAACAAGTACAAGAATAACAGTGCCAAATAGCGGAGAAGGATCATCTGTCAGGCAGTTGATGACATCACCTACAAGATCAGTATCATCAGACAAAGAAGTAATCAAGACAGCAGAAACTACTATAACGTTAAGAAGTAGAATGGGGACAACAGGAAAGGAGAGTTTGACACCTTCAAAGAATCCAAACAACATAACCTGTGATGCTAGAATATCTCCCGAGGCTTCAACAAATGTATCAAGGAGACTTGTTGGATCTAGTGACAAACCAGATTATTTAAGATGTGTGACTGACTCTTCAGCTACAGAAACTCAAGATAGTTACTGCAAAGAAATAACAGTTGAAGATGATAAGAAGTTTGAAATAGCTAGTAAATCAAATGTCTGGGTAAAACACACA